AGTTTTACATTCCCACCAGCGGTGCCCAAAGCTTCCAATTTCTCCTGATCCTTGCTTGCTTTTTTCTTTTTTTAATAGTAGTTATCCTAATTTGTGTGGGATTAGTATCTCCTTTTTGTTGTGATTTGCATTTCCCTCATGATTAGTGATGTTAAACATCTTTTCATGTGCTTATTGGCCATTCATATATCTTCTTTAGAGAAATGTGTATTCGAGTCTTTTGCCTATTTTGAATGGGTTTGTGTGTGTGTGTGTGTGTGTGTGTGTGTGTGTGTATGGTTGAATTGTAGGAGTGCTTTATATATTCTGGATATTAGTCTCTTACCAGATACATGATTTGCAGATATCTCCTCCCATTCTCTGGTTTGCCTTTTCACTTTGTTGATTGTATCCTTCTGTGAATGTAAGTTTTTAATTTTTATAAAGTCTGATTTCCGTATTTTCTATTTTATTTGTGCTTTTGGTGTCATAGCAATAAATCATTGCCAAATCCAGTTTCATGAAGCTTTTCCCATATATTTTCTTCTAAAAGTTTTACAGTTTTCAGGTTTACATTTAGGTCTTTTTTCTGTTTTGAGTTAAATTTTGTATATGATGTAAAGTAAGGTCCAAATTTTTCTTCCTCATGTGGATAATACAGTGTCCCCAAAGTCATTTGTTGAAAAAAATTGTCCTTTTGGGGTGCCTGGGTGGCTCAGTTGGTTAAGTGTCTGCCTTCAGCTCAGGTCATGATACCAGGGTCCTGGGATCAAGCCCCACGTCGGGCTCTCTGCTTATCGGGGAGCCTGCTTTTCCCTCTCCCTCTGCCTGCCCCTCCCCCTGCTTGTGCCCTCTCTCTCTCTCTCTCCCTCCCTCTGTCAAATGAATAAAATCTTAAAAAGAAATTGTCCTTTCTCAGTGCATGGTCTTGGTACCCTAGTGAAAAATAATTTGACTGTGAGGATATTATAGTGAGTGAAATAAGCCAGTCACAAAAAGAGTTTATTTCTGAGTTCTCTATTCCATTACATTGTTCAATGTCTGTCTTTAGGCCAGTACCACACTGTTTTGATTACCATAGCTTTGTAGTTACTATTGTACTCAGGAAGTGTGTCCTCCAGCTTTGTCCCTTTTTCAATATGGTTTTGACTGTTCTGGGTCCCTTGAGATGTCCTATGAATTTTAGGATGGATTTTTCTATTTCTACAAAAAACATCATTGGGATTTTGATAGGGATTATGCTGAATCTGTAGATCACTTTCTGTAGAATTGACAGTTTAACAATATGAAGGCTTCCAGTCACGAACATGGATGTATTTCCATTATTGGTGTCTAACTTTAATTTCCTTTAGAAATGTATGAATGATCCAGTTTCTCTGAATCCTCCCCAGCATTTTAGTGTTGTCAGTGTTTGTTATTTTAGCTTTTCTAATAGATGTATAATGATAGCTCATTGTGCTTTTAATTTGCATTTCCCTAGTGGACAATGATGTAGAACATGTTTTCAGTGCTTATCTGCCATCTCTTTATCCTCTATGAGGAAATGTTTCTTTATGCCTTTTGCCCATTTTCTAATTGGATTTTAAATTTTTTACTGTTGTTTTAAGAGTTCTTTATATATTCTACTTTGTCAGATATGTGATATAAATATGTTCTCCCAGTTTGTAGCTTGTCTTCTCATTCTTTCAACAGGGTCTTTTACAAAGCAAAAGTTTACAATTTTGATGAAGTCCAGTTTATTGATTTTTTTCTTTCTTGGATTATATCAAGTCTAAGAATTTCATTAAATCTTAAGTTCTGAAGATTTTCTTTTGTTATCTTCTAAAGATTTTATGGTTTTGGGGTGCCTGGGTGGCTCAGTCGCTTAAGTGTCTGTCTTCGGCTCAGGTCATGATCCCAGGATTCTGGGATTAAGCCCCGTATCAAGCTCTCTGCTCATCAGGGAGCCTGCTTCTCCTCCCTCTCTCTGCCTGCTGATCTGCCTACTTGTGTTCTCTCTCTGTGTGTCAAATAAATAAATAAAATCTTTAAAAAAAACTAAAGATTTTATAGTTTTACATTTAAAATTTTAAATCTGTGATCTGTCTTGAGTTCATTTTTGTGTAAGGTACAAAATTTAGGTTGAGGTTCATGTTTTTATCTGTGGGTACCCATTTGCTCCAAGACCATTTATTGAAAAGACTATCCTTCCATTGTATTGCTTTTGAACCTTTATCAAAAATTAATTAGCTGTATTTGTGTAGGTCTATTTCTGGCAATTCTATTTTGTTCCATTGATTTATGTGTCTGTCTCTCAATCAGTACCATTCAGTCTTGATTACTTTAGCTGTGTAATAAGTCTTGACATCAGAGTGATTCCTCTATTTTTTCTTCTTCTTTTTTTTAAAGATTTTATTTATTTATTTGACAGAGAGAGAGAGACAGTGAGAGAGGGAACACAAGCAGGGGGAGTGAGAGAGGGAGAAGCAGGCTTCCCGCCAAGCAGGGAGCCCGATGCAGGGCTTGATCCCAGGACCCGGGGATCATGACCTGAGCCGAGGGCAGATGCTTAATGACTGAGCCACCCAGGTGCCCCTCTATTTTTTCTTCTTTCAGAAATTTTTAACTATTCTAGTTCCTTTGCCTTTCCATGTAAGTTTTGGGTTAATCTTGTCTATATCTACAGAAAATCTTGGGATTTTGAAGGAATTGTGTTAAACCTGTACATCAATTTAGGGAGAATTGACACCTATACTATCTTGAGTCTTCTAACCCATGGACACAGTGTCTCCCCATTTACTTATATCTTCTTTGATTTCCCTTTTTAAAAAGATTTTATTTATTTATTTAGAGAGAAAGAGCAGGTGTGAGCAGGAGGAGGGGCCAAGGCAGAGGGAAAGGGAGAGAATCTCCAGCATGCTGAGCTTGGAGCCTGACGTGGGGCTTGATCTCACCACCCTGAGATCATGACTTGAGCCAAAACCCAAGAGTCTGACATTCACCTGACTGAGCAACCCAGGTGCCCCTTCTATGATTTCCTTTATCAGTGTTTTATAGTTTTTAGCATGTAAATCCTATACATGTTTTGTTAAATTTATATTTAAATGGCATTATTTTTTTAATTTTGGTTTCCATGTGTTCATTGCTTTGATACAGAAATAGAGTTGATTTATGTTGACCTTGCAACCTTGTTGAACTCACTTATTAGTTCTAGGATTTTCTTTTTTTCTTTTTTTTTTTTAAACTTTTTATTTATTTATTCATGAGAGACAGAGAGAGAGAGAGAGGCAGAGGGAGAAGCAGGCTCCCAAGGAGCAGGGAGCCCGATGCAGGACTCGATCCCAGGACCCTGGGATCATGACCCGAGCCGAAGACAGATGCCCAACCATCTGAGCCACCCAGGCGCCCATTTCTAGGATTTTCTTATAGATTCCATGAGATTCTCTAAATAGGCTATTATGTCATCTGCAGATAAGGATAGTTTTATTTCTTCCTTTTCAATACGTATGTCTTTTATTTCCTTTTCTTGCCTTATTGCACTAGCTAGAACTTCCATTATCATGTTGAATAGGAGTGATGAGAGCAGACTTTTTTTTCTTGTTCCTCCTTTTAGGGCAAGAGCATTCAGTCTTTCACTATTAAATATTATCTTAATTCCTAGTTTTCTGAGTGTTTTTATTGTGAACAAGTGTTGAATTTTGTCAAATGATTTTTCTGCATCAATTATATGGTTGTGTAATTTTTTTTCTTCTTTAGCCTGTTAATATGATGGATTACATTGATTGATTTACCAATAATGAACCAGCCTTGCATCCCTGGGGTAAACCCCTCTTGGTCATGGTGCATAATTCTTTTTATATGTTGTGGAATTCTATTTACTAATATTTTATTAAGGGTTTTTAGAGCTATATTCATGATATTGGTGTATAGCTTTCTTTTCTTGGAGTACTGTCTTTGGTTTAGATGTTAGGTAGTATATGTGAACATCATGAGGGAAGGCAATGATAATGACAACTAAGTTATGGAATCGATTTTTTGGGAGTGGAAACATCAGAAAGAATCCACGGGAAAAAAAGAACTCAGAGAAGAGAAATAGTGTTGTTTGGTTGAATACTGTTGTTTGGTTGAATATAGGGCAGTGCGATGGAGCAGATTCAGCGAGGGGTGGGGATGAATTCTGACTGTCGTAGATGGAACGGTTAGTGTAGTTGGTTTGTGGAGGATCTTAGTTAATAATGATGTGGTAAGGCTGAGATTATGCTGACCATAGGGAAAAAATTAAATACAGGAGTCTTAGGGAATGAGTAGTGGAGGCAGATCCTGAACCCGGAGGTGACAGGGAGAGATATAGTGGAAGGATCAGTCTTAGGCAGGAAATTGAGCATCTTTTTCTGGGACTGCTGGGAAGGAGGAGGGGTTGGTATGGAGACCATGGGATCCTTAGAAGTGATATTAATGTCTGGGAGTGCCTCTCCTTATGCTTTGTTTGGGAGGAGGGAGTATTGCTAAGGCCACAGGAATAGACCTGCCCAGAAAGGGGGACAAATACCCTTGGCTGACACTCTAACTGCAGGTAGTTGTGATGATGAATCAGAGCTTCATTTAGATCCTTAAACCAATTTTTTGGTTTTTATATGTTTTTTTTGTTTTTGGAAAACTGATGAGGACCACAGTTGGGGCAAATAAGTGTGGAAACTCTTCTTTGATAATCCTCAAAAATGAGAAGTCATCAGAGAGCATTCTGATCAGCTGCTGGGTCCCAGTCCTGTCTAGCATTGACCATGAGAGGGCCTTTGGCTCCACTCTCTATTGAGCCACAGAGCCACAGACTGTCCAGTTTGTAATCAGCGGTTCAGATTAGGCTTCAGATAAATTCTGCATAATCTCTTCCAGAAGATAGAAGAGAAGGGAGTACTTCCCAGTTCATGTTAATAGTTCTGATACCAAACCAGGCAAGGACCAGTTCCCATCCCTAGCATCATTCCTCCTCCTCATGCCTTTGTGTGCTGGCACTCAGGAGCTGATTTCTGTTCTTGTTGCAGCTGCAGCCGACTCCGCCAGGTTCAGAGCATCTTGACCCAGAGCAGCAAGTCTCGACCTGATGGGATCCTCTGCATCCTAGGTCAGTGCTTTTAACAAGGTGGGGCAACTTGGCTTCCTTTCAAGGAAGATATTAATAATAGTATCATTGTGAGATAAGCTTGAGGTAGTATCCTTCTCCCAGCTCTTGTTCCCTTGAAATCTGGTGCTGTTCTCATAAGATCAGGTGAGCTATCAGTGGGATAAGGAGGCCCTACCACAGGGCAGGCACTTTGTACATGTTATCTCATTTCTCCTCACAGCAGCCTTGCAAGGGAGCAGCGTTGTCTCTTTTTACAGAGCGGGAAACTGAAACTCCAGGAGATGAGACAGACTTGCTCAGGACCATAGAGTGGCAGAACTAGGCATTTATTGTTCTTTAATTTTTTTTATTGTGAAAATGCATCATATAACTTAAAAATTAAGACAATACACAAATGATAATGAATAGAGCTTCCTAACCATCCCTGATACCGAGTTCCACTCCCCAGAGATAGCATTGCCAATGGAATCTTTTTTTTTTTAACACAAATGGGAACATTTTATTCAAACTGTTGTTAACCTAATTTTTAAATTTTCATTTAACAATGTATCTTGGAGATTTTTCTGTATCAGATTGATCTTCTTTATCTCATTTTCATTTATACCCGTAGTATTGAGTCGTGGAAGTGGAATTGTTAAGTCTGGTGGTTTGTCCATCAAACACCCAAGTTCCTTCTCAGAAGCAAACCGCTACTAGGTTCTTGTTTATTTTTCCTCATATATTCTATGCATGATTTTGTGTTTTCACTTAACCGCACTTGCTTTTAAGCTTATGAGAGGCAGTGTGCAGAGTGGTTAAAAACATGCAGTCTGGAGCTAGGCAGGTTTTGGGTTTGAATCCGGTTCCACTACTCAGCCCAGAGGTTGGTAGGTCTCCATAAAAACACAGTTGTGGTACAATAACCAAGCTGTGGAGAGTCCAGATGTCCATCGACAATGGATAAAGACGATGTGGTATATATAGCCAATGGAATACTACTCAGCCATCCAAAAAAATGAAATCTTGCCATTTGCAACAATGTGGATGGAACTAGAGGGTATTATGCTAAGCGAAATAAGTCAATCAGAGAAAGACAAGTATCATATGATCTCACTCATGTGGAATTTAAGAAATAAAACAGGATCATAGGAGAGGGAAGGGAAAAATAAAACAAGATGAAATCAAAGAGGGAGACAAACCATAAGAGACTCTGAATCATAGGAAACAAACTGAGGGATGCTGGAGTGGTGGGGAGTGTGGGACGGGGTAACTGGGTGATGGACTTTAAGGAGGGCACATGATGGAATGAGCACTGGGTATTGTATCAGATTGATGAATCACTGAACTCTATCTCTGAAACTAATAAAATACTATATGTTAATTAATTTAATTTAAATAAAAATTTAAAAATTAAAAAAAATAAATAGTGGCTGATGCCAGCAGAGAACAAAGAATGCCTCTTGACCATATACACTCAATACACACACACACACACCCCCGCACAAGCCCTCCTTGAAACTTAAATGGTATTTAGGGGAGAAAATGAGGGGCAGAACCTTAAAAATGCCTAAGTTTGAAATTTAAAAAACTGCGCAATAATTTTACTGAGCTTACTTGGGAAAAAGTGATCAAGTTTTCTGCTTTTAGAAGGAAATGTGGATTTATGATAGAAATTACATTATTTTTTGTTAAAGCTGTATTTTACCTAAAAACAAAGCAAAACCAAACCACAGTTGTGGTGGGCCCAGAATTCCTGCCAAAAGTTTCAAATGTTTAAACAACATTCATTGGATTCTCTCTCCAGCTGCAACCCTCAGGAGGGTGGGGGCTGTCTTTGGCATGAATTTACCTATGAATAAAAGCACCTGTTCATTACTGTACTTATGCTGTCATTTCAGTTGGCTTCTGTGTCCCTCCCTTTGACATACCCCCCCCAATCAAAGTTTTGTTTGTTTAGCACTTCTGTACTTTCTGGCACTATAAGATACTCTAGGCTTATTTTATATATTTCCTGCTCCAGTCCTAGAATCAGCCATTTCTCCAAGGAGTGCTGGGGTTCCTTTTATTGGAGAATGGTATTAGAAATCAGAATCTGGGCATTGGATACACTCTTGTTACTACTGGGATGTCATTGCTCCTAGGCCCTGGGGCAACTGACAGAGTAACAAAATACTTGTGTGTACATTACCTGTAAATGTTATGTAACCATCTGTATATTAAGCTAAATGTGAATTCATATTAATGTCTCCATCCTACCCAGTTACCACATAGGTTATTCTAGTTTCCCCCTTTTGCTTATCTGTAAACTTCTACTTCACCAGTAGGAAACTTGGCACCTATCATCCACCATTAGTTTACTTGTTTAATTCCAGTATACATATATAGCAGTATCAGAATTGTTAACCCATAATACCCCTATGAGAAGCAACTTTGTCAGCTAAAGCATAGTGCCTACATAGAGTTTCTTTTGCCTTTAATTTTACATGGTTAGTCTTTTTCATGTCAGCAATTTATGCAGCTGGAACCATTAGAAGTTGCCATGCTGAGGCCAGGTCTGCTCAGTCTGCCGTTTATTTTTCACTCTGTAGCCCTTTAAACTTTGGGCCTTAGATAGGCCAGTCCATTCTGGCTTTTGATTCTTTTTCATTTTATTTTTTATTTTTTATTTTTTTTTAATGTTTTATTTATTCATGAGAGTCAGAGAGAGAGAGAGAGAGAGAGAAAGGAGAAGCAGGCTCCCTGCCTAGCAGGGAGCCTGATGTGGGACTCGATCCCAGGACCCTGGGATCATGACCTGAGCCGAAAGCAGACGCTTAACCATCTGACCCACCCAGGCGCCCCTGATTCTTTTTCACCCCTCCCTTCACTGAAGCATTGAATGGGATAGAACAGGGCTGTGCCGCTTTGATCTCAGCTTAGAAGGGAGTTCTTTTATATTAGAGGTCGTCTGCCATAGGCAGTCCCTGGGCCCGTCTGCTCTAAATGACCATTACTTTTTTTCACTTGTCTGAATGACCATTGACAGTCCTCTTTTCCAGGCTCTAGCCATATTTCTATTCTTGGAGCTCTTTCTGCTCCAACTCCTTCCTCAGCCTCATGTAGACAGCTACCACCTGCTCATGACATGTTCAGAGATACTCAGGAACCAGGTAGTACATATGCCCATGCCATTGAGAGGCAGTAGTGAAGGTATATTGTTTAATTTCTTTTTTGTCTCTGACCCAACCCCACTAGACTGTAAGCTCCATGGGGGCCATTTGCAGGCATGTTCACCACACACTCCAGCATCCAGCACAGTGATGGGCCTTGAATTTGATAAATATTTGTGAAATGATGAGTGTCTGTAGTTCCATTCACTTGTCCTCTTTTTCACTTCTTTGGGTTCTTTTCAAACTACCTTAGTCTGCATTTATTTGATCCCCCATGTTTTGGTAAAGCTCTCTTTGAGAAGTGAATATTTTTTATCCCCTATTCCTATTCCAACTGAAAAGTATTCCAAAATCTTTAACCAGCCATGGCAGGCCATGGCAGGCAGGACCGTATTCTTTGCTTCTTTCTAAACTGAAAAATTGCTTTTTGGAAATCAATAGCTTCAATAATGTATGCTGTTTAACTGTCTCAACTATATAGGTCTTGAAAACCAAGTAAGAGTACTTGATGCTTCAATCACAGAGTTGTTTAATTTGGTTTCTGGCGCAAAACTAGTGTGAGCTTCTGCCTTTAACTTGACCATCAGGGTTTTGCTGAGCACGGGCAATTTATTGGGACTCATTTGTGTCCCACAGTACAGCTGATCAGAGCCTCCTTTGCTTTGCAGGAATCGATAGCAGGTACAATGGAGGCTGCAGAGAGCTGGCAAACTATCTTCTGTTTGGTTTGTACAATCAAAATACAAGCGATTTTGAGAAAACGGGGTTTTCTGAAGAAGTTCTAGATGGTAAGTATATATAGTATTAAGTAGTATGCTCCTGTTAGTAACCTGCTGGTTGATACAAGATTAGTGACAAGTAGTTTTCAGAATATGTTTACTGGGTTAATCAGCTTTAGAGGGAAAAGTGCATATCAATTTGGCTTTATATCTTCTTGGCAAGGTACTAGTTTTCCTCTCAATTGCCCACTGCCTTTATGTGCTGGGAGGTTCAGACTATGTGCTGTTGTCCTGTGAAAGCACATTCAGTTGTGGATAAAGGATGAGCCTGCAGGCTACTCCTACAAGGAAGACTTAATGTGGATCTTCAGCTTAGGAACAAAGGCTCTTTGTCCAGCTCTGTCTTTGGGAATTGTTTTCTGTGTGACTTTAATTCATGACGATGCCCATGATTACAATGGAGGCTTTCTGCTTACATTCCCCTTTCTTCAGCTCTGAGACACTCTCCCTGTGTTGATGCTGTTGTGGGCTGATGCCCAGGAGCTGTCTCTGATATCACATACTTAGCATCATGACTTGTCTGCCAGATGAATCCAGAGACACAGGAATAGACAAATCAAACTGAACAAGAGACAGGCAGCTCTTGTGAAGCAGCTGGGAGTGCATGAAAGCTAACATCTGATATTGAATATTGATATTGAAGTCATCTTGCAGTGGATGTAATGCAGTGGTTTTAAAGTAGGGGCAGTTTTATTCCCCGAGGGACATTTGGCAATATCTGAAGACATTTTTTGATTGTCACAACTGGGCAGAGTGGCTACTAAACATCTACAGTGCACATGGACAGCCCCCCCACAACAAAGAATGATCTGGTCTAAACTATCAATAGTTCTAAGGTTAAGGAACCCTGGTCTACTGTATGTGAAAATTTTTCTGTAGTAAAATCCTTAACAGTGTTTATCCTTATAAATTGACTAGATTTTCTTTTTATTAGGAAGTGCAGAAGGAGCAGGCTGCATTTATGACTTCCATTAAATTTCTTTCAATTTCAAATTTAGTTTCAGAGTTTGATTTTTAAAAATGCTTCTTTATGCGGGGCACCTGGATCAGTTAAGCGTCTGCCTTTGGCTCAGGTCATGATCCCAGCATTCTGGGATCAAGCCCTGCATTGGACTCCCTGCTCAGCGGGGAGCCTGCTTCTCCCTTTCCCTCTGCCCCTTCCCCTGCTAGTGCTCTCTCTCTCTCTCAAGTAAATAAAATCTTTTTTTAAAAAAATGCTTCTTGGGGCGCCTGGGTGGCTCAATCTTTAAGCGTCTGCCTTCGGCTCAGGTCATGATCCCGGGGTCCTGGGATCGAGCCCCACATCGGGCTCCCTGCTCAGCAGGAAGCCTGCTTCTCCCTCTCCCATTCCCCCTGCTTGTGTTCCCTCTCTCGCTGTGTCTCTCTCTGTCAAATAAATAAATAAAATCTTTTAAAAAATTAAATAAATAAAAAATGCTCCTTTATGCTGTACAATATCTACTGGTTTGAAAGAATTCATCTTGGGGTGCCTGGGTGGCTTAGACTCTTGATCTCAGCTCAGTTCTTGATCTCAGGGTTGTGAGTTTGAGCCCTGCATTGGGCTCCATGCTGGGTGTGGAGCCTACTTTAAAAAAAAAAAAAAAAATTCATCTTGGCAGTCACTTAGAATTATAAAAAGACAGATGCTCATACCAGCCACAGATTTCACTGCAGCCAAAGTTGCTAAGGATATTGTAGTACTGAAATTAAGGAAATAGTTTAAATCTTCAAAGGTGTGGGGGTTTTTTTGCTTATCATTGTCTTTATCCTGCCATCTGGCACAATGGGTGCTTATGAAATGAGCATTTTCTTTGACTGAATTAATAAATCATTAATGAATTAAAAATGAATTAGTAAATTCATTTTTTAAATCCAAGTAGTTGGCAAACTGAGATCATTGGATTTATACATCTACATTTTGATCTCTATATGAGAGGAAAAGAGGCCAACACGAAGGATTTATTTAAAAAAAAAAAAACTTAAGGGCGCCTGGGTGGCTCAGATGGTTGAGCGTCTGCCTTCGGCTCAGGTCATGGCCCCAGGGTCCTGGGATCGAGTCCCGCGTCGGGTTCCCTGCTCCTCGGGGGCCTGCTTCTCCCTCTGCCCCCCCCCCCACTGTCTTTCATGAATAAATAAATAAAATCTTTAAAAAAAAAACTTAAAATAGTTTACATATTCATCCAATTTTCTTACACTTTCATCTTTTACTGTTAATTTTGTTCAGAGCAATGACATCAGAGTCCTATGAGATTCTGAGAATGCTTAATTAGGCTTAGTAGTTGTTGCATTATTTCTTTTACTGGATCCTAATTCTTTGTGGAGTTTTACACATTAGTGTAGAACATAAACTGGAAGCCCCCCTCAGGCTCTCCATGTGACTTCAAACTCTCATTCCTCAGCAGGCAATCTACAAGTGATTCAGGGCAAGGCTCTTAGAGGGCCTGTATGAAGAAGACCAACAGGATGAGAGGTGATCCCTGTCCCATCCCTTGCCACCTTGTGATTCTAGTGCTTAACTGAGAGTCAGCAGTGAATAGGCTGCTCTATACCGTGTTCCCTAGAACACCTGGGTCTGACCAGGTATGGGGCACAGAGTGATTTTTGAAAAACCAAAGGTCAGCATCATGGAGCTTTATTTCAAGAGGCCACCCAGTGGTGTGGTCAGCTGCAGTCTGTATTCATCGGGCTTAGGTTTTTGTAGAATATGGGCTGTCACACTGTGTTACTGTGTTGGCATTGCCCTAAACCTGCTGTTTTAGGTGCTCCCTGCTGCCATGCTCCTCTCACTTCCAGCCACCTCCTCCAGCAACTTCCCTAGCATCATCTTGTTAGAGAGATGCCTGAGATGGTTCTGCTTTCTGAGGAGCCATGCAGTGGAGCTCTGCTCTTTTTTTGGAAGTATGACTGCTTTCTTTCTCAGTCTTCAAACTGCTTTAATATTCCTGCCCCATTTCATGGCTCTTGTTACCTTACCTAGGTTTATTTGTACCCTTGGGATTGTTTTATTTATTTGACCCACTGGCATCCATGGTTCTTCCTTAAGTCTGTGAGCTGCTGATCTATTTATAGAAACCTTGTCCACTTGCCTCTGCTTCCTTCCTCCCAGCCTTTCCTGTGTACAGAGTTCACCCCCTACATAGTAACCCTTCCCAGAGCTGAACAGTGATGTCCTCAGGCCCATGGTTGCCTTGAGTCAACAGCCAAGAGCTTTAGACACTGGTGTCTGCAGAAGAACCGTCACTGGCTATATTTGATATTTCCTTTAGGAAATTAAGGTGGCTTTAGACTATGGAGTTTCCATTTGGTATTCATCTCTGTAGCAAAGTACACAGCTAAGTCTGGTACCACAGATTTGACAGTGTTGAACTTTGAGAAGCAGAACATCCCGAAAGCGGTTCTTTTGACTTATTCTGTGCGAGCATTGTAGTAACCAGAGGGCCACAGTGGTGGGAGCATTGCATGGGAACTAGAAAATCCTTGCTGTCCACATGTGAGTACACAGTCCCTTTGAGGCACATTGCCTAGTTATAAAGAACTTTCAGTTTAGAGTTTTGTTACATTGTCTCTGAAATAACTTTAATGGTATTATTCATTATGTGAGCAGAAAATGTGTAAAGGAAATGACTTTGACAATGTTGTGATTTAATTTTGTTTTCCTTACAGATGTAATTATATTGATTAAATCAGATAGTGTCCACCTGTACTGTAATCCTATAAACTATCGCTATCTCTTACCTTATGTGGCACATTGGAGAAATCTGCATTTCCACTGCATGACTGAAAATGAGGTAAGGAGAGAAGATAGAATAGGCACTTAGAGACGTTCTAAGGATACTCTTTCAGAGAAGTATACATCTGGAACAGGAGGCCCCTTAAAAAAATCAAACTGCAGGATGTATTACACAAAGAAAGCTATTTGTTTTAGTGGAACTTTTCATAATTCATTATGAGGCTACCTTATAGATAAATTGTTTACCTGACAGACAAAAGGAACTCTTCAAATTGGGACCTAGTCGTAGGCTTGTGACCCTAGCTTCCTGTCCTCCTTATTACCAGCCTGCACCCATTCTCTTGGATGAGTGCAATGGACTGCCTCAGGAGAGTTTGATAAGCTTTTGTAACATTTCCATGTTTGGATTTTTTGGTATTTGTTTCCTTTTGGGTTCTTTTCAAGGGTTTGGCTGGAAATCAAATTAGGATTTGAGACTTAGGGTTTCATGGAAATGGTGACCTAATACGGGTAAAAAACCTTTCTTTTCTTTTTTTTAAGTTAAAGGTGTTTACTATAAATCCTAAGCGATCACTAAAATAACACAACAGACTTATAATCCAACAAAAAAAATAAAATAGAATCGTAAAAAATACTAATATATAGTTGACCCTTGAACAAAATGGGAAGAACCCTTCTTTCCATGTGAGCTTTTGGGGAATTTTTGAGGCAGGTTTTATCTCTTGCATTCAGGTATCTGACCAGGAAACATAAGAAGTTGGCTTTGGAAACACCCTCTTGGGTGCAGTCCTCTATAAATGTCATTTGAGATAACTCTGATAAAATACCAAGAAAATAGGGGATTTTGCATGATGTCTCCTTAGAGCCTGTTTTCCTCTCAATTTTCCTCTTCAGTATGAAGATGAGGAAGCTGCAGAAGAATTTAAAATTGCCAGCTTTGTGGACATGGTTCGAGACTGTAGTAGAATTGGCATTCCTTACAGCTCCCAAGGTGGGTATCTGACAGCAAGCCATATTAGAACCTTGCTTGGATGATGTGTGAACCCAGCATTTCTGATGCTCCTTCCATTGGAGGCATTCAGCTGGGAAACCCATTGATTTATTTTCACTAAAGGCAGAGAATCAAGCAGAATGAAATTTGGGAATTTTTCTGTGAAAGCTGGTACTCATAACTGAAATTTCTATAACAACACAGCAGGCCATCTAGTCAGATAGAAAAACTGATAAGGGATTTACCACAGTTGCCATCTAGCTGTGCCACTTAATTGTGTGAAGAGTATAGCTGTGGAGCCTCTTGGTAACAAATAGTAATTCAGGCAGCTGCTAAAAATATGCTGACAGTGAGGCTCAAAAATGATGTGTAAAAATAAAGGAAAATAATCCACAAGTTTAGCCGTGGTTATATCTTATTTTTAAAAAACTTTGCGTATTAGAACTATTGCTATACGAAAGGAAAATTTTTGATTTGGTAATTTTCCCTTGAGGAAGTTGATTGGCTATGTTTCTTAAGGGGGAAGGGCCAAGTTTGGGTCTGTTAATAATTATATCCACTAAGTGATGCAAGTCAGATGTAATAGGCCACTATTTATTTACTAACTTACTTGCTCACTTAGGAAACCAGAATGTGAAAGTATACTATAGAGAAATCTGAATTTATGTAACTTGTTATGGTTTGAATTTTCTTTGACTTTCATTTTGTATTTCTAGTTTTAATATCTAACCATTTTATCTGTTTCACTTTTATTTTGCTAAATGTGGCCATGGTGAATTTGAGAGAGATGATGCATGTCTAACCACATTAGATCAGGTTTAGACTGTTATATCCAGGATGGTTATTTGATACATGTTGTTTTATTTGATTCCTCTAGGTCACTTGCAGATATTTGATATGTTTGTAGTAGAGAAATGGCCAATTGTACAGGCCTTTGCACTTGAGGGCATTGGAGGGGATGGATTTTTTACCATGAAATATGAGGTATGTGTGAAAAGCAGTATGCCTGGCTTTTGTCTGCCACTTGCTGGCTTTATGAAGGGCCCCCACAGCGTGAGTGTGCATCGTTATAACACTCTGAAAAGCTAGCAGTGATCTCTCAAGAGCATGGAGCAAGTTAAAAAACTTGAAATGTAAAATAGATGCTGTGCAAAGCTAGTCCCTAAACTAGACTCCTGTGTCCTTTCTTCTAGGAGTTTCTCTCTGTCCTCCTTTCTCTCTTTTCCCCATTCTGAGTCCATTGTTCTTCCAGTCTACTCCTGTAGCACCCTAAGCTGATTCCTCTTATAGGTTTCTTTGTCCTATGTTATACATTTTTCACACACCCCTACTCATGTACCCACCCACCCTTGGTCTCTGGATCGAAAGCTCCTTGAGAACAAAAACAGTCGTTTCATTGTTGTTGTTTGTATCTTAGAAATTCATATAATTTGCGGGACGCCTGGGTGGCTCAGTCGTTAAGCGTCTGTCTTTGGCTCAGGTCATGATCTCAGGGTCCTGGGATCGAGTCCCACATCGGGCTCCCTGCTCGGCGGGAAGCCTGCTTCTCCCTCTCCCCCTGCTGTGTTCCCTCTCTCGCTGTGTCTCTCTGTCAAATAAATAAAAAGAAATTCATATAATTTGAGAACTATTCAAGAGCAATGAAAAGGACAGTGCAGAATTTTGTATAAGTACAGTATACTATAGAAATAAAAGGGTTATCTTTTGTGTTACAGACAGTATCTTTTATTTCAATATTCCTTCTATCTAGGAGATCACTCATAAATATTTGTTAAGTGAATTAATGAATGAGTCTGGTAGAGGGGGTCACCCAGAGTGCATATTAAGGAGGATGGCCTGGTAGCTTAGCAGCATCACCATAGGCATCTCCCAATGAGATGACCTGCCCCCAGCACAGAAACAGGGAATGAGCATTGACATGCTCAAAATGGGAACATACTATTAGGCATAGAGTAGGAAGCATGGCCCAGGGCTAATTACTATCCCTCCTTCCAAGAAGTAGCAGTGTCCCTAGGAAGTAAATGGATTCTTGCCTGGTAAACCCTGTAATGTGGAAGGAACATGGGATGTAGTGTTGAAGAGAAGCACACCACTTGGTCTCCACTTTTCCTCCTCCAAAACTATAGTATTCTCACATTGACTATAAGTAGCAGAACTTCAGCGAGGCTGTGGGAGCTGCCCCTGCTAGGAAGTAATGCTCTCTAATTTATTTATTTATTTATTTATTTATTTAAGAGAGAGAGAGTAAGCGAGCACGAGTGGTGGGGGAGGAGACTCCCTGCTGAGTGTGGAGTCTGACGCAGGTTTCCATCTTACCACCCATGAGATCACAACCTGATCCAAAACCAAGAATCAGGCATTCAACCAACTGAGCCACCCAGGCGCCTCATTGCTCTCTAATTTAGAAGAATAGGGGCATAGGGCGCCTGGGTGGCTCAGTCAGTTAAGCATTCGACTTTTGATCTCAGCTCAGCTCTTGATCTCAGCTCAGGTCTTAATCTCAGGGTCTTGAGTTCAAGCCCCACATTGGGCTCCACACTAGGCTCTGTGCTAGGTGTGGAGACTACTTAAAAAAAAAGGGGGGGGGTGCCTGAGTGGCTCAGTCAGTTAAGCGTCTGCCTTCGGCTCAGGTCATGATCCCAGGGTCCTGGGATCAAGCCCCACATTGGGCTTCCTGCTCAGTGGGGAGCCTGCTTCTCACTCTCCCTCTGCCCTCTGTCTGCCACTCTCTCTCTCTGTCAAATAAATAAATAAAATCTTTAAAAAAAAAAAAAGGTAGTACACTAGGAGGCTCCAGGGTTCATACAAACCAGATGAGGCAGGCCTTCTGACTCCTGCCTTAAGGTGCATTACACTGTGCAGACACATCCAAAAGGAACAAAATGCCCTTCCTTTCTTTAAGTAGGCTCCACACCTAGCGTAGGGCTTGAACTTATGACCCTGAGGTCAAGAACCTCACGCTCTACTGACTGAGCTAGCCAGGTGCCCCAACAAAATCCCTTCCAAAAAACCTTTACAAGATAATGTAGATCTTTCCTGTAGGGTAGTGTTTAATGGGGTGGAGTGGGCAATAGGAGGAAACTGCACACATAATATAGTGAGGCTATTATAAGTCTTCTCTCAAGTTCCCTTTCTCTAGATCCTGCCTTTCTTTGTAGCTGCTAATTGTCATTCTCTCAAATACTTTCCTTTTGTCTCCCTCTCATTCTCCCCCCACCTCCGTTCCCTTCCTTACCAGCCTTTAGGGTATGGAACAGTACTGCACTCTGAGTCACACACCAAAAGCCTGATAACTACCTGAGCCAGAAAGACTCTTGAGTCTTTTGAAGGCCAAGAGAAGAACTACAGACACTTAAAATTTAATTTTTAAAAATTCTGTCTTATTGTATGTCTATACCCAGAAGAAAGTCATTAACCCAGAGGAGGCTTTGTACACCCAGATGTACTAGGTGCCAGCATGAGAAAGGAAGCCAGACCCACATAAGCTTTTACTTGGCATTTAGGCTGGGCCAAACTGAATTACGGGTATAGAGAACTCTTCCTGGGAAGCAGCGTAGGGAAGTTCCTCTGATAGGGCTTTCCCTGCCTCCAGCTTCCTCCTTAACTCTCTAGCTGCTGGAACTGTCACCTAGTAATGTAAATTTACATCAACTACCTCCTCAAGGAGAGAATTCTAGTAGCAAACTTCTGAATAATGAGAGTAACCATAGAGCAAGCATTCATTTACCTTTTTATGGACAAACATAAGATCTTTATATTGAAAGGTGGAATAAGACTTATGAAAAGATTCAACAAAATATAAGAAAGAAACCATAGCATATTAGATGCAGAGATAGATCAGCATTCTTTTTAAAAAGATTTTCTCCAGGAAATAGAATAAAAAATGAGAAAAATATCTCTTTTGTTCCTTTTAAGAATGGATTTTGTAAAAAAAGAAATGGTAGGTAGAGCACACAAAATTAAAAAGGGAGATAGATGAATAAGGAAATATAAGTCTCAAAATTATTAGTAAAATTAAAGTTTGCATTTAAAATTAGAAATCGGGGCACCTGGGTGGCTCAGTTGGTTAAGTGACTGCCTTCACCTCAGGTCATGATCCCAGGGTCCTGGGATCGAGCCCTGCATCGGGTTCCCTGCGCAGTTGGAAGCCTGCTTCTCCCTCTGCCAGTCCCCCTGCTTGTGTTCCCTTTCACGCTGTCTCTCTCTCTCTCTGTCAATTAAATAAATAAATAAAATGTTTAAAAAATAAAAATAAAATTAGAAATCAGATTCAGCACCTTCAAAAAAATCAAATCAGTTTATGTTTGAAAAGCTGTTCCAGAATACAGAGGAAGGAGCCAAATATATTAACTCAGTCTTTTGGAATTCAGAACATAAGGGAGTAGAGAACCTGAATAACTGCCTCTTGCCTGTCTGCTCTCCCTAAAAAACCTTTCTAGTAGTTGACAAGCTCTGCTGAAAGCATAAAACTTCCAATCAGCCTTTCCATTTGGAAGTAAAAACAAGCAACCAAAGATCACCAGACATTTGATTAAATACCTGTAACTTGAAAAGATCGAGATTAAAAAAAAAAAAAAGATGGATTGGATAAGACCCAAAGGTAATTAAGATATAGAGCAAAACTTAAAGCACAAAACTCTCATTAGGATGCCCAGACAAGTAAGATTTGGTGACCATAGAACAAGTGTTATGGGGTGATAAATTAACATAAAGAAAATAAGAGCTCAAAATAAAATAAAAATAACTAAAAAAAAGAAAATAAGAGCTCTGGGAAATTGTGGTTGATAATAGAAGGTTTGGGAGGTAAAGTTAGGAAATTCTCTAAAAATATAAAATTAAAAAATCAAGGAGATAGAAAATATGAGAGAAGAGTTAAAAGACATAGAGAACTGATCCAAGACGTCTGATATCCAACAAGGAAGAGTTAACAGAAAGATAGAGCAGAGATATCAGAAGGGAGGAAATTTTTTAAAAAGAATAAACATTTTCAGTGATAAAAAGAATAAAAACTTTTAAATTAAATGACTTACCAAGTATAAATGGGAAGGAAAAAGCCTTAAGTCTATCTATAAGAATATCACATTTCTTCCAGGAAGAAAAAAATAAGTCACCTACTTAAGACAATAGGAACCAGATTTCTCTTCTTCCCAAAACAATTCAACCTAGCCAAACCAAAAGAAAAAACAAAAAACAAAATATGTGAAGCAATGGTTTTCAAGACAATAGACATCAGATAATGAAAAATATTGATTCCCTGAGAGAAATAGACAAGGTCAGCCATATGATTGCACTAGTTTACTACTTTGAGAAAATTTTTCCAGGCCCATGGCACAGGGAGGGGGTACCCAGGTGAATCCCAGTGTATTTCCTAAGTTGAGAAGATACAGTAGAGAGTCTGGTGAGAGCAGGGCAGCTAGAGTGCTAAAAAGGAAAGTGCCCAGAGAGAACTCCAAAGATCTGCCAAGATTCCCCTACCCTTCCCCCATCCCAAGTATTCAAAAGAGTATCAGTGCATTCATGTGTCAGGTAACTGCCAAGGGCAGAGTTAAAAAAAAAACAAACTGAAAAGTAATCAAGAACAGTGCCTGATACATGCTAAGGGCTGGGAACAGTAGCTGTTCCCACCAGTTAGACTGAAAAAAACACATAATTCAAAGGGCGTTGAGTAGAGCCCTCAGAAGGGTATTCAAAAGATGTACCAAAGTTTCTGTAAAGAGAGCTTCCTTGAATGGGACTGCATTTATTAATATGTATTGGTTCTAATATAATTGATAAAATTTTGATTTATTCTAATCACTGAGTTTTCACCAAAATAGTCATTTATGATACTTTTGGTTGTCAGTGATATTGACTCATTTATTTCAATGTTTTTACCCTTACGTTGCAGTTGCAGGATGTGAGTTTGAGTCTATGGAATGTCTACAGCAAGATGGATCCTATGTCTCTGGAGAGTTTGCTTTCAGAAGTAAGAAGCCAAATTGTATTTAACGTTTAAATATTACAGCCAGCTCAGTTATCCACTAACGGTATTTAACTTGAAGAAATGCAAGATATATTTTTGTTTGAATGGTTTCTTCCCTGATTGTTATCTTGAACTCCTCGGGGGTAGAAGGAGACCTGGAAAAGTGATAGTGCCTCTTTCGCTCTGAGGAAACCTCGACCTGAGGTGAGACCAAGGCTGCCTACCAGGGTTGATGTTTCCACCTAAAAACATTCTGTTGGGCTGGACTTCAGGAAAACAATACAGACGCTGTCTTTTTGCACTTTTTCCCTGAGAAGAAATGATTAAAAAAATGGGGTTTGGCTTAAAAGAATCAAGAATTAGAGCAGAGGTCAGCAAACATAGGCTTTGTATGCCCTCCGTCTCTGTTAGAACTATGTTAGAACTACTCAGTGGTACCATTGTAGCCTGAGAGCAACCGTGGACAATGCTTAAATGGATGGGTGTGTCTGTGTGTTCCAAGGAAACTTTATTTACAAAAATATGTGGCCTGCTCACAAGCCATAACTTGTTGACTGCTGCATTAGAGTGTCAGGCATTAATATCTGAACTTGGAAGAAAGCATAAAGTTGGGTGGAGCAATTTCCAGTAAGGAGCAACAGATAAAACTGAGGCTACAGGAACAGATGCTGTGATTAAGCAGCTCAGCAGTGTCTCTCAGTGGCCATGGCTAGATATGCATGGAAAAAGAATAGTGTGTAGCCTTTTAATTAAGTTAGTTATGATATTAAAACCCAACAAAAGTAACAAAAATGGAAACTACAGACCAGTCTCACTTGTCAATGTTACTGCCTGTTTTTTTGTTGTTTTTTTTAAGATTTATTTATTTATTTGAGAGAGTGGAAGTGAGAAACAGAGCACTAGTGGAGGGGAAGAGGGGCAGAGGGAGAGGGAGAAGCAGACTCCTCACTGAGTAGGGAACCCAATATGGGGCTTGATCCCAGGACCCCGGGATCATGATCTGAGCTGAAGGCTGATGCTTAACCTACTGAGCCACCCAGGCGCCCCTTTAGTGCCTGTATTTTAAGTAAAATATTAGCAAGTAGAATCCAGTATCATTTTAGAATATTCTCTGATGAAGTAGAGCTTAATAAGGGTGCAATATTTAGTTTAGTATAAAGAAATCTATTAACGTAATCACTGTACTAGTTTTTCTCCTAGAACCATTTGCGATGACTCCATAGATGCCTAAAAGGCATTTGATAAAATTGAACATCCATTCTGTTTAAACATTTCTAATTAAATAGGTATACAAAAGAAAAGTAAACCCTGAATTTTTTGTACTTTGCAAAAACCTAATCATCATCATTAATCCATGGCTAATCTAATTATGGAAAAAAGTGAACATGCAAAAATTTATAGCATAAGAATGCAAAAATGATAAAGAAAATTTAACCACAAAGAAAGAAGAGAGAGAAGTAGTTTAGGAGTTCCTACAAGTGTCTGAGACCCATACCCCACTTGCATGCAGTACCCTGAATGTGAGGATGCTATACCTATACATCACACATGGAGGCTAAACATAGCACTGTATTTTTAAGAACATTGCAAGCATCTCTGGAGTCAGTTAAGAGGGACCACTCAGAAGGACATTTTTAATTGCACCTCAGCCAACAATGACATCTTATAGCTGAAGAAGCAGTAGTGGTAATCACCATGGGCTGTAGACCAGGCCCTTCCTGGTTTTCTGACTTCCCATGAGCAAAATCGACTGAAGTTCAGTCCCTACCCTCAAAATATTTTAATTTAGTGATTAAGATTAACAAATGCAGTGAGACCTAGACCGAGATCAATTACAGATCAGAATTACTTAGATCCCGGGCGCCTGGGTGGCTCAGTTGTTAAGCGTCTGCCTTTGGCTCAGGTCATGATCCCAGGGTCCTGAGATCAAGCCCCGCATCAGGCTCTCTGCTCAGCGGGAAGCCTGCTTCTCCCTCTCCCACTCCCCCTGCTTGTGTTCCCTCTCTCGCTGTGTCTCTCTCTGTCAAATAAATAAATAAATCTTAAAAAAAAAAAAAGAATTACTTAGATCCCTACTTTAATGGCCTGATAAAAGAAAGGGTACACTTTTCTAGAGGTAAATATTATGTACTTCAGTTTTTCAGTAAAAACTTTAATAACAAAATGTCTGGCATATGATAAAAAAATTAGTAGAAGATATGAAGCAAGAAAATTTTGTTATTAAGAAACAGTCAGGCATGTCTGGGTGGCTCAGTCAGTTGAGCGTCTGCCTTCGGCTCAGGTCATGATCCCAGGGCTCTGGGATCGAGCCCTGCATCGGGCTCCCTGCTCAGCAGGAAGACTGCTTCTCCCTCTCCCACTCCCCCTGTTTGTGTTCCTTCTTTCGCTGTGTCTCTCTGTGTCAAATAAATAAATAAAATCTTAAAAAAAGAAAGAAAAAAGAAACAGTCAATAGGGAGGCACCTTGCTAGCATAGTTGGTAGAGCTTGCAGCTCTTGATCTCAGGGTTGTGAGTTCAAGCCCCACGTTGAGTGTAGAGATTACTTAAAAATAAAGTCTTAAAAAAAAAAAAACAGTCAAGAGGATTAGATCCAGATATTGGAATTAACTAATGGAAAACTTCAAATAACTAATAAAAATGCTAAAGAATTTCAGCAGAGACCTGAAAACTATAAAAAGAACCAAATGGAAATGTTAGAAATGAAAAATACTATACCTAAAATGAAAAATTTATTAGATTGTCTTAACAGCAGGTTAGATAGAAATGAGAAGTTCTGTGAACTTGAAGATAGGTCAAAGGAAGTTTTTAAACTGAAGGACCAAGAAAAAAAGACCAAGGGGAATAAAACAGAGCATCAAGTATCTGCCAAACAATGTCAAATGATCTAACATAGTATGGTTGGAGTCCCAGAAGGAAAGTAGAGAGAAAATGCAGCAGGAAATCTGAGTTGGTAATGTCCAAGAACTTTCCAAGCTGATGAAACAAATCAGTCCACAAATCCATGAAGCTCATTGAACCCCACATAGGATAAAAATTACCATAAACATGTATAAAAATGACCACAAATTTATGCAGGGATCTCTTGCGGTGAGTCTACAAATGTTCTTAATAAAATTCGAATCCAGCAACCAAATGTATTTAAAATGCAATTCTAGTCTTTATTTGTATCTCTAGAAAAATTACTGAAAAGTGAGCGATTTATGCCCATATTACTTTTTAAAAATCTGCCTTATTTTCTTCTCCCTTCTCTGAGCTGTTTTGTAGCCTCCAAACTTCTCTAAAACCCTCTTTTCTGTCCACCATCCAAATACTTTTTCTGCTCACATCTCTTTCCCCTTTGCCAAGACTTGTAGTCTTAAGCCAGAATTGACATCTAGGCTTTAATTCCCACTGGCCAGTCACTGCTGGCGGCTCTTTGATGGCCAGAGAACCTACAGCTCCATGCTTCCTGCTCAGATCTCATGGAGAGTGCAGACTCCTCTCAGAAGTATTATTTTTTTATTTTATTGGTAATTTTTTCCATGAACTACTCCTTATAGATGAACTGCGCCCATACTCACAGATACACTAATTAAACTACAAGGAGGTGCTACTTTTTCATCTACTAAAATGCTAGAAATTTGTTAAAGGCTGAGAGTAGAGTTGCCAGTTGCCAAAGAGTAAGAGTGAGTCCTTCAGTGGAATAGGTGAAATGCCTGTCTGGAGGGAACATTTGGCATCCCTGTCCAGCAATTTCAGTCTAATAATTTATCTCAAAATAATTAAAGATGCCAGTGAAGGATGTTCACTGAAGAATTGTTTATAAAAACTGTTAATAAAAATTGAAGACAAAGTGAATGTCCAACAGTAGGAATTAGATTAAATAAATCTATTCGGTGGCCCATTATAGTGTCATTTAAAATCATGTTTTAGAATTGGATTTGATAGAGAAGTTCAAAATATGTTTGGCAAAGTAAAAGGTATTATTATTTCCATCTTTGTAAAACAATTTGTGTTTCTATGTCTTAGAAACTCCAGTGATAGTCTTTTTTTTTTTTAAGATTTTTATTTATTTATTTGACAGCGAGAGAGGGAACACAAGAAGGGGGAGTGGGAGTGGGAGAGGGAGAAGCAGGCTTCCCACTGAGCAGGGAGCCCGACGTGGGGCTCTATCCCAGGACCCTGGGGTCATGACCTGAGCCGAAGGCAGACACTTAACGACTGAGCCACCCAGGCACCCCTCCAGTGGTAGTCTTATTGGTCATTTATTTTATTTTATTTTCATTTTCCCATTTTTATTGCATTATGTAATTCTTAAAAATACTTTTAAATACTGAAATTGATCCTTTTTCTACCCTTGTCAGTCAGTATAGTGCCTTTGGGGTTTTTTGCGAGAGAGAGGGCATGAGTGGGAGGTAGGGGCAGAGGGAGAGGGAGAGAATCTTAAGCAGGCTCCACGCTCAGCGCAGAGCCTGACACAGGGCTTGATCTCACAACCCTGAAATCATGACCTGAGCCGAAATCAAGAATCAGATGCTCAACCGACTGAGCTACCCAGGCACCCCTGCTTGTTGGTTTCTTCAACAAATCCGTAGTCCTTGATCCCTGGTATTTCTTGGATACTATGCTTATACTAAAGTCGCAGAAATAGGTAGACCTGGCCCCCACTCACACTGTTTAATGGGCTTTTAGACCAGTAATAGCAGTATACTTTAGTAACTGCTATAGTTGCAGTGGAACATAGAAGGTAAGGAAAATAACTCTGCCTGGAATTGCTCAGGATTGCTTCCCAAAGGAGTCTTGTGTGGTGATCAGAGATTTTCCAGAAGAGGAGGGGATATGAACATTCTAGCCACAGGGAAGGAACCTGTCTGAAAGCCCCAGAAATACACAGAAAGCCCCAGAATCATCTCCTTTTGAACATTGAGAGCAACTGCTCAAACATGCCTGCTTTCCCTTTGCCTAGTCCTTAAGCCAACTCAACTTGCCTGTGGTGCCATGGATATGGGCTTTGAGCCACCAGAGAGCTGGATACCAGCCTCGGGCCAAGAATTCTGTCTAAAGTTCGGTATCCTTCCCTACCAGCCAAGAACCAAGGCAGACTGGCATGGTTCTTGGGGTTTTCAGACCTTTACTGCTTATCTGACCTTGATATTTATCTGGGCTTGTCTTCTGAATTTGGCCTCAAAGAGTCTGTGCAGATAAACTTTCCCTTCATCATCAGATGCAACTGACCAGTTCCACCTACATACACAGTATCTGTTTCTGCAAGCGCACCATTTATAATAGGGAAAAGTTGGAGAATAGTGTGCCTGGTGGAAAAAACACAGGCTCTGGGTATCTCTTACCTAGATATAAATATATCTGCTCTTTAGTATTCCATCCTCAAGCAGGTCGCTTTACTCTTCAGTACCTCAGTCTCCTTATCTATAAAGTGGGCATAGAGAAATGCAAGGATGTTAGGATGTTTTAAGACTGTGTATGTGTATATGTGTGTATTTATATGGACATTTCATATATAATGCTAGTTATTTTTGGTATGAGAATTCATCGAATCTTTCATTTCACTCATAGCGTGGAACTGAAAGCAGTATTTAATGATTGATTCTACCTTATTCTGTAATTAGTACTGACACATCCTCAGGGAATTTTTTGGGACGGAGTGCCCCATCTTTTTTCCTGTATTCCCCAAAACACATAGACTATCTTGGATCCTGGATCAGGGGCACTGATTGGACCCGATAGCAGCAGGTCAGGATCCCAAACTCAGAAGGTCTGGTTTACTGGGCCATGGCACAGAGGTGATATGGCAGGGCAGTCTGACCCAGATAATTGTAGATTACCAGTTACAAGTATGCACATATTTGTGTGTGTCTTTGTGTATAAGATACATCTGTAAAAATAGAATGAGAATATTTTCCAAAATGTTAACTTGATTTTTGTTCTATATTTTCTGAGTTTTCTGTAGTGAATAATGTATTACTTGTGCATCTGTTTTTAAAAAGTTTTTATTAACACAGACTCAGAAAAGAGCATATAACTAATATATAGCTTAATGAGTCATTATAAAGCAAAGTAACAGAGTCTTGCCACCCCAGAAGCAATCTGAGTGCTTTTTGCCAAACCCATCACCTCTTTCCTACTCCCCCAAGAATAACACTATCGTGAATTCTATGGCAGTGACCCCCTTTTCTTTGCAACTTTTTCATCAAAATTTACTTCCAGAAAAACCTAGTTTAACTTTGCCTGTGTGTGCACACATGTGTGCATGTATGTAGGTTTCTCTTAATCTATAGGTTCCCCCTCCATCTCTTTGTCCCCACCCCTCACTATCTATTTATTAGGGAAACCAGATCATTTGTCTTATATTGTCCTCATTGGGATTTGTTGATCGCATTCCTATCATGTAGTTTAACATTTTCTCGTGTGTTCTGTATTTCCTTACTATTGGTAGTTGAATCTAGAGTTTTGGTCAGTGTTCTGGTTGATTTTGGGAGGGAAAACTACTTCTGAGAGGGTGTACATATATCTCATTGATACTTTTTATTTTGTGAACATTGATATGCAACCCTTAGATCTTTAATTCATTAATTAGATTCTTTAATCACCATTGTAAAATGGTAGTATTCCAATTTTGTAATTCCTTCTTCATTTATATTCTCTGAAGAGAAATATTCAACTTGCTATTTGGTTATGCAGTGGTAGAGTCCATGTGGGAAAAGCAAGATAATTGAACTCTTGCTTTTATATATCAATTTTAAAAGTAAAGTTGGTTCCCAGCCATTCTCCAAAAGTAACCACTTCTTTTTAATTTGTCTCATTCTGAACTCATAGATTTAAACATATTTGATGTTTCTGTCCATTGGAGCTATCATCTTTACTAATGTTCACATTGTTCCGTCTTTGGGCGGTGGCATACTTCAAGTTGGTCACAGATTGTTTTAACACAATCCTGATAGTCCTTGATAACTTCCTTGCCATATACTGTGACAAGATATTCCTGGATTATCTTATACATTTCCTGTCCCAGATCTGGAATCAGTCATTTCTCTAATAAGTTCTGGTTTCTTTGAGTGGGGAATGATATTTCAACACAACAGTCTAGGTGCTAGGAATGCTCACTGGTGTTGGTTTGGTCATTGTTTCTAGATCTTTTCAGTGGGTAGAACTAGGAAATTCTCTGTGTGTCTGTCTATCTCCGTGTGTGTGTGTGTGTGTGTGTGTGTGTGCATACATACATGCCTGATTTTTTTATCTCACATTATATATAAAACATATATAGAAAACAATATCAGCACTTTCACCTACATGATGACTGAAAATAATTTTAGATATGTATACACATACACATCTGTAACTATCTGTAAATAAAGTAAAATATCGGTCACCTGGGCAGCAAGCAGCAGAGCCATTAGTAAGAATGTTGTTTACACTAAGTATTCCCAAGAGAAGTCCATTGTGCTTTATGCCTAGGGCCAGAAGTAGAGTCAGTACATGGGTAACACAGAGCCCATAGGTCTGGGTACTTGTGTATTGACTGGGAGAGAATAAATAAATAAAAAACTGACTGGCTGGATCTATGCTCTCCCTCTCTAGCTGTCTCTCTGTCAAATAAATAAAATCTTTTTTTTTTTTTATTCATTTGACAGAGAGATAGCGAGAGCAGGAACATAAGCAGGGGGAGTGGGAGAGGGAGAAACAGGCTTCCCGCAGAGCAGGGAGCCCGATGCGGGGCTCGATCCCAGGACCCCGGGGACCATGACCTGAGCCGAAGGCAGACGCTTAACGACTGAGCCACCCAGGCACCCCGCTATTAACTTTTAAAATATATTTAAATGGTCTGGTATTTTGATATCTGATGCAGTTTCATGATTCTGGTTTTCTGCAGTACCTCTCAGTATGACCAAATGCATTATCCTTTTCATTTTCTTCTAGGATTTGGTGGCTTTTGAACATCAGTGGACTAGCTTCTTTGCTAATTTTGATACAGAAATTCCTTTCCTGCTGGAACTTTCTGAATCTCAGGCGGGTGAGGTATGTAAAGAAAGGGTCAAAGAGAAAAAAAAATTGATTAACTTATTTATTGTTTCTGTTTAGTTTTGTTAATTATTTCAGAATACAAAACTACCAATCTTAATATGTTTTGGTTATTATTTTCTTAAGCTTTGTTGTGTGCTGTAAAGAAGTTTTTAGCCCCCATGCCAACCTATGAACCTCTATAAAGAAGTTGTTTTTTGTTTTTCTGTGCCAGCTTCTATACAAGAAAGATACTCATTTTAGAGTGTGGTGATACCTCTGTCAGCAAGGAATTCTACTGGGCACTAGTTAATAGGCCTAGAAATAATTCTCCACATGTGAGTAGCACTCCTTTCGTCAGTTGAACCCCTAGGTAAGCTTTCTTTCCAGGTAAACCATGGTGAAGTTACTAGATTCAGTGTAAGACTCACTCCATGAGTAAACTGAGGTATCTAAATCAAGAAGCAGGGCATAGGACAGTCCCCAAAGTTAGTCAGCTGGGAGGGTCAGAAGAGCAATCTTGAGCTTACACTTGAGTCTGCCTTGGGCTTGCACTGCCAGTCCTTAGCTCTCCTGTGCTGCAGTGACTCCTGACTTTGGAGTTGGTGTTGATCTTTGCTGTTAATGCATTTCACCTTTACGTGTTATAAACCTCACTAATACATTGCTGTTATTTTTGTTTGAGTAGTCAATTTCCTTTTTTAATTCTCTTTTTAATCTTGTTTTAATCCTTTTTAATCCTTTTTTAAAATAATTTAATTTTGAAAATTTTATGTATTTACTCATGTAGTTACTGTTCTCGATGCTCTTCATTCCTTTGTGTAGATCCAGATTTCCATTTAGTATGATTTCCATCTCCCTGAAGAGTGTCCATTAATATTCTTCATGGTGCAAATCTTCTGATGATGAGTTCTTCCAGCTTTCATATGTCTGAAAAAATATATTTATTTCACCTTCATTTTTGAAAGACATTTTTGCCATGTATAGAATTCTTGGTTGACAGTTTTTTCCTTTCAGTACCTGGAAGATGCTCTTCCACTGTCTTCTCCCTTGCATTGTTTGTGAGGGTTCTCCTCTCTATCTTTTTTTTTTTTTTTTAAGATTTTATTTATTTATTTGACAGAGAGAGAGACAGTGAGAGAGGGAACACAAGCAGGGGGAGTGGGAGAGGGAGAAGCAGGTTTCCCATGGGGCAGGGAGCCTGATGCGGGACTTGGTCCCAGGACCCCAGGATGACCCGAGCCAAAGGCAGATGCTTAACAACTGAGTCACCCAGGTGCCCCATCTCCTCTTTATCTTTAATGTTCATCTTAATATTTATTCTTTATCTTTGTTCCTCTGTATGTAGCTAGTCTTTTTTTTTCCCCCTAGCAGCTTTTAAGATTTTCTCTTTTATTACTGGTTTTGAGTATTTTCTTCATATTTCTTGTGCTTGGCTTTTGTTAAGCTTCTTGGATCTGCGGATTTATAGTTTTCATCAAGTTTGGAAAGTTTTTGGCCATTATTTGTTCAGATATTTTTTTTGTCCACCCTTTTCTCAGAGATTGTAATTACCTCTGTTATCAAGCCACTTGAAGTAGTTCCACATCTCACTGATGCCCTTTTCAGTTTTCTGGATTCTTTTTTCTTCTCTCATTACTGTGGTTCCAAGAGTGAAAGATACTCGAAACGGTATATTCTGTGAACTGTATGTCACTCCTTCATTCCTACCACCCCCTTCTCATTCCCTCCCTTTCTTCACCATTTTCCACTTACTCCACTAATAATAGGTAACAAATCTTTTCATTTCTGATTTATCTTTTTTTCTTTTGCACAAATAAGCAGACATATGTGTATTTTCTCTTGTTTCTTTCATTGAAGGGCAAGATACATGAGTCACTTCCACTTTGCTTTTTTCCCTCAACAAGAATATATCCTCGAGGGGTGCCTGGGTGGCTCAGTGATTGAGTGTCTGCCTTTGGCTCAGGTCATGATCCTGGGGTCCTGGGATTAAGCCCTGCATCAGGCTCCCTGCTCCATGGGAAGCCTGCTTCTCCCTCTCCCACTCCCCCTGCTTGTGTTCCCTCTCTCACTGTGTCTCTCTCTGTCAAATAAATAAATAAAATCTTAAAAAAAAAAAATCCTCGAACTTTCTCCAAGTCAGTTCATTGAGATTTTCCTCATCCTTTGTTAATGATTCATAGTACTCCATTGTGTGGAGTAAGATCTGTGAACACCAAAACTCCAACTGATGAACATCCAGAGGATGTAAGTAAACAGTTAATTACCAAAGGGAAATCCAGATGGCCATTGAATATATCTGAAATACTCTACTTCATTAGAAATCAAAGGAATGTATAATAAAACAGCAATGAGATACCACTTTTCTTTCTTTTTTTTATAGATTTTATTTATTTATTTGACAGAGAGAGAGAGAGAGAGGGAACACAGCAGGGGGAGTGGGAAAAGGAGAAGCAGGCTTCCCGCCGAGCAGGGAGCCCGATGTAGGGCTCAATCCGAGGACCCTGGGATCACGACCTGAGCCGAAGGCAGACGCTTGATGACTGAACCACCCAGGCACCCCACGAGATACCATTTTTCACTTATCAACTTGGCAAATATATTTCTAAATGGATATTTAATTGACAGTGTATATGAGGATACCCTGAGATAGGCACACTCATGTATCATAAGTGGAAGTGTATATTGATAAAACTTTTTTTTAAAGATTTTATTTATTTGTCAGAGAGAGTGCACAAGCAGAGGGAGAAGCAGGCTCCCTCCTGAGCAAGGAGCCCAATATAGGACTTAATCCCAGGACCCTGGGATCATGACCAGAGCTGAAGGCAGATGCTTAACCATCTGAGCCACCCAGGTGTCCCAGTTAAAACTTCTTTGAAAATCAGTTTAGCAATATAATTCTGCCTTTTTACCCTGTAATTTCATTTCCAGATCTGCTTTAAGGAAATAATTAGAGCTACAAATAAAATTTATGAAAAGTTGTTTATTACAGTATGTAAGAGTTAGTAGCAATTTCTAAGAATAGAGGACTATTTAATAGGCTTTGGTACAATCATATACTATGGATGTACCATAGAAAAAAAATAGGAAGAAAATATACCAGAATGTTAACAGTTATTAGAGATTGTAGACGGCTTTTATTAAATTCTAAAATAAGCATGTATTATATAATCAGGGTGGGGGGAGAACAATAGATGTTATTTAGATGTACTAAAATTGCCTTTTGGAATTTTGAACCCTTTTGACATAGCCCCTGCATATCAATTTTAGGTTAGTATGTAGCCTAGTACTGTATACCAAGGCAGAGAAGTACTTCTGTGGTTTCCTGGTAAACTTCTTTCGGTGTACTTATAAGTTCTGTGGATTCTTTCTCAATGCTGATTTTAAATTAGTATGTTAGGGGGTGACTGGGTGGTTCATTTGGTTGAGTGGCTGCCTTCGGTTCAGGTCATCATTTCAGGGTCCTGGGATCAAGCCCCACATTGGGCTCCCTGCTCAGCAGTGAGTCCGCTTCTCTCTCTCCCATTGCCCCTCCCCCTGCTCTTGTGTGTGCTCTCTCTCGCTCTCTCAAATAAATAAATAAAATTTTAAATAAGTAAATAACTATAAAAAGAAATCAGTATGTTAGAATTAATATATATTCCTTTATTAGAAATGTAGAAAAACAAATTTTTAATAGAAGGGAAAAATTCCTATATGATTAGTAACTTGGACCATAGATGATGATTGGTCCAGTTTTCTTTCAATAATTAAAAATTATAAAACTTAACAAGAATTTCTTTTCTTTACCTTCCTTTTTCTTTTGCAGCCTTTGTCTTTCTTTTGCTATTTTTTGTTTGCTACCTGTCCCCAAAATTCATGTTGCTTTATACCACATATATCCTTCCATGTTCTTACAATAATCTATAAACTTCTCTCTCTCACACACACACATACACAACACCTACATATGCACATATGTACATATATGAGGGGTTTTTGTGATTGTTTCATAAAATTATGATCTTAATTTATACAATATTGGCTTCTTTTTTAGCCATTCAGAAGTTACTTCAGTCATGGAATGATCTCCAGCCATATAACTGAAAACAGGTAAGTTTCTTGGGGAAGAAAGGTGAATGGTAATAGAGAAAATGGGATTGATGAGGGGGGTGGTTGTGAGGGAGCATCTAAGTCCAGAAGGTAGAGTCAGGAAAATATAAATTGACTTAGTCATCACAGGCTAAGAAATTCATACCCTGAAAAATTGTCCATTTACTGCTTTTGTATTTATATACATACATTTTTTTTTTAAAGATTTTATTTATTTACTTGAGAGAGAGTGACAGCACACAAGTGGTGGATAGAGGCAGAGGGAGAGTGAGAAGCAGTGTTCCCACTGAGCAGGGAGCCCGATGCGGGGCCCATTGTGATGCGGGGTTTGATCCCAGGGCCCTGAGAGCATGGCCTGAGCCAAAGGCAGATGCTTAATCGATTGAGCCACCCACGCACCCCTATACATATATTTTTTTAAAATACAGTTTTATAGTAAACTAGCTTTTAAAACATTGTACCTTGCTGAAATCTAAAGAATTTTATAGTACATCCCTACCCCCAGGAAAACTAGGAAGCAGAATGTCCAAGGGCTAGGCAGGGGTCAACAGCATCTTGTGGGGAGTCAAAGGGCTCAGGCATTAAAAGTCCAGCCCCAGGAAGACAGGGAGCATCAGGGTTGCTGCATTTGTTTTCTTGAGGTGTTTCCTTTAGCACCTCTCTTGTCATGGTAATCGGGAGGGCCCCCGCTGGGGATGGTTCCCCTGATGGATGGATAAGAGTAGTTCTTTCCTCTCTTTTCTTCCCTAATTCCAATTGAGTTTGAAGTGAGACAAATTGCCAGGGCTGGCACTTACGGTCATTTACCTTGAATTAAGCTTCAGAAGAAAAATCAGAGTCATGTTTACTTTTAAGAACCCCTGTTTGCCTGAACCTTAAGGAGGTATTTTTAAGAATAATACAAGAAATGTAAAGAATTTTCCACATGACACACACTAAGGGCAATTTAAGGAAAGGGTAGGGGTAAAGGGAACTGTCTTAATCTGTTTTACCTCCTGTGACAAAAATACCATAAACTGGGTGGCTTATAAACAAAAAACATTTATTTCCCAAAGTTCTGGAGGCTAGGAAGTCCAAGATCATGGCACTATCCCATCCAATGTCTGATGAGGGTCCACTTCCTCTTGGATAGCAGTCATTTCACTATAACCTTACCTAGCAGAAAGGGCAAGGGATCTCTCAGGAGCCTCTTTTATAAGAGCCTTTTTTATAATCTCATTCATGTGGGATCTGCCCTAATGACTTAATCACATCCCAAAGGCCCTGCCTCCAATACCATCACTTTGGGGGTTAGGATTTTAACATGAATTCTGTGGGGACACAAACATTCAGTCCATAGCAGAAGCTATCTTTTAAAAATATCCTTTAGGTACTATTTGTTGAGAACATATGACATACTAAGCAAGCGATACATGATCAAAAAACCAGTCACGGGGGTGCCCAGCTGGCTCAGTCAGTAGAGTATTTGACTCTTGATCTCAGGGTCATAGTTTGAGCCCCATGTTGGGCATAGAGATTACTTTAAATAAATAAATAAACAACAGTCATGGTCTCTGCCCTTGTGGAGTGTATAGTGTGGTAGAGAAATAAGACATTAATCAAGCAACCTCACAAAATAACAGAGTTACAAACTCTGGTGCCATGAAGGAGAAAAGAACAAGGCATTGTGAAGACCATAGCTGGAGAGCCTGGTCTTTTCTGAGGGGAGATCTGAATGATGAGTAAAGATAATAAGATGAGCGCCTGGTTGGCTCAGTCAGTGAAATGTGCAATTCTTGATCTTAGGGTTTTGGGTTCAAACCCATACTGGATGTAGAGATTACTTAAAAATAAATTCTTAAAAAAAAAAAAAAAGATGATTAAGGGAGAAAAGCATCCTGAGGTGAGAGCATAAGGAACATAAAAGAAGATGGGTTTGGTGGAATATAAAAGTTGGGGGAGGGTGGCCTTCCATGGAGCCAAAGAAGTTCGCCAGCCAGACCATGCAAGTCTTTGGCCATGTGAAAGAATTCAGTCCTTCTGAAAATAACATAAAGGCATTAAAGGCTTTCCATGTATGAAAGGTTGTCCTCTCTGAACCGTGGAGAATAGATTCTAGGAGAGCAGGAGTGGAAGCAGGGTCACAGTGAGGAAGCATTGCAGTCGTCTGGGAAAGCAATGATGGCAACATGGATGAGGCTTGCGACCATGTGGATTGAAGAAAATAGACAAATAGAAGTGATACTTGGGTGGTTGATTGGATTTAAAAGGTAAGGGGCAGGAGAAGTCAAGGAGGCCTAAGGAGGCGTCTCAGGTCTGGCTCAGTCCCTGGATGGATGATGATGTCGTTTATTTACTGCAAGAACTGGAAGGGGAACAGGGGTAGATCATGAAAGAGGAGAGGAGAGGCAGACAGCTGAAAGTAAAACCCTAGGAATATTCAGAGGCAGATGGAAGAAGAGAATGGCTGACAGGGGAAACTGAGATGCAACAGCTCTTGCAGGGAGAGGGTGTCAGGTGCTTCTGAAAGACCAAGGAAGGGCAGGTTGAAGCCTATCTATTGGATTTGTTATTTGCTATGTGAAAGTCACTTGGTGACTTTTGCAAGAGTAATTAGAGTGAAATGACTGAGGGGTCAACTGAAGTGGGCTGAGAAGTGAGCAGAAAGTGACAGCAAAAAACTAAAATAAACAGACAAGTCTAACCAAGAGAGGAGACAAAAGAAAGAGATGCATGCAGGGCAGGTGAGTGTGGTAGTGAGATATTTGCAACCCTGTTGTCCTCCTCCCATCCTAAAAGCTAGTCCAGAATGGTTAATGCCTCTATTGTCTGCCTGTAGTCTGAGTATCACAACCGTCATCCTTTAAAATTTCTATTTCTATTAAAATGCTGTTGTATGAAACTGGAAACTTGCTCCATCTCTGTATCATGGACAGCAGACCTACGGAAGTTTCTCCTTAAGAAGTAGAACAAGCTGAAAATATAAACCTGGCTTGAATTTAGTTATGTCCCTAAATGACCCCTGTGGGTCAGTAGGAGGAGTCAGAGACATCTGGCATAACTTCGCAGCAAGCAAGGAGTATTAGGGGGACTGGATTGACCACTCTGCTCAGACTGCAGGACTGAAAACCCTAAGCAGGACCGAAAACTCTCTCTGAAAACCCCAAGGAGCCCACTCACTGGGAAGTTGCCCTAGATAGGACTCTCTTTTCTAATCACATTTTTGGTTTGCCACTCCAGCCCTAATAGGCAGCCATTCGTTCTCTTTGGTAATCACTCCACACGAGAAAATCTGAACGCTGGCAACTTTAACTTCCCTTCTGAAGGGCATCTGGTACGCAGCACTGGTCCCAATGGGAGCTTTGCCAAACACATGGTGAGTGGCTTGATACCTGGTGCTTAATTGGTTTTATTAAAGAGGGAGGAGGGGAGGATAAGGGGAACCTTTCTAGTTTGTGCATTGATTTAATCTTGAACTTGAGTTGTTTTGGAGTGAAAGAAGTGATTGCAAACGGACTATTTTTATATAAGTACTAGGTGTAATTTGAAAATATCATAGTTAATTTTTAAATATTTGAAGGAAAAAGCTTAAAAAATATTTTCTCAAACCAAACTCTTCAATTTGTAATAAGTAATATGGTCAGTAGAGTAAGAATTTTAAATTAGCTTGCAAATAGACTCATTCCAAGCCTACTAGGTTTGATACGTCTTCACTGTTACATTTCAGGACATAAACTTTGAGGATCACTGTTCTTTTATTGAGGGTGCCAGGGAGAAGACTTTTGCATTTGGTGGTAAACATTCTTTTAAAGGAAACATTAGACTGAAATATGAGACTCTAGTGATTGTAAAAGTCTGTGGAAGTTTAAGTATTTTCAAAATGTTCCTGACAATCAGGAAAGCTGGGGAGGTAGGTACTATTTGTTAGTTTTGATTAGAGAACATGAGACCTAAATCTGTCTGGACTGAATCTCTCATGGACTAAATTTCTCTGACTCTAAGCTGGCCAGGAATATAAGGCTACTTGAATGGATGGATATGCTGTCAGGATATTACTACCCTGTAAAGGCCTCATTTTAACCCCCAGAGCACCCTGGGAATACACAGGAAATGTCAAATGACATGGGGTTCTTTGTATAATCATATGTGTTGACTATATATGTTAAAACTGATTTCTGCTTCTGGGAAGATGGAGTAGACATACTTTTTCCAATTCCTTCTACTGAGTACAACTAAAAACCCTGGACATTATATGTAAAACAAACATGGGAAGACTCTGGAAGGTAGAAGAAGGCAGGCTGGCTGACGAGCTTAGGACCAGAGGGACACAATGGCTGTGAGTTTTCTGGGGTTCCTTTTTGCCTGTATATCCCAGACCGGATACTGGAAGAGCTGACAATGCAGAAATGCCAATAGGCAGAGATATGAAAAGCCTGCTGTCTCTGGCAGAAGGACTAGGAAGGGGACAGCCTAGCAAGGCAGAAAACTTTTAGACAACAGCTGTTCTACTCCAGCCAAACCCCTCAGAAAAAAACTGCCTCTCCATCCACCCCTACCAATAAGGGCTGAGTGAAGAGCCTAGGGTCTGCCTTGCCTTTGCCGTTGCCTTACCCTGACCCCTGTTAAGATTAATGTTAGAGAAGGCCCACTGGGGAGCCATGACTTTCATCCCCACTGGGCCCCAGTGAACCTTCCTTCCCCCTGCAGTATCGATGGAAAATACAGGGGAGCCTGGACGTCCACCCTTACCCAGCAGTAACGAGGTATTCTTCCTTGGGGTGGTATAATGGGAGTCTAGTGGAGTCAGGACTTTCACCACCACTCAGCCATAACAAGGCTGCCCCCTGCCCATAGTGTCTGTCACTCTCCCAAGCCATGGTGGCATCAGCGGAGACAGACTGGGGGATCTGAACTCCTGTTCTTGCCCAGCAGTAACTAAACAGGGAAGAAGAAGAATTTTTATTTTATCTTTTTTAAAGACTTTATTTATTTATTTGAAAGAGAGAGCGCACAAGTGAGAGAGCACAAACGGGGAGAGAGGCAGAGGGAGAGGGAGAAGCAGACTCCCCAACTGAACAGGGAGCCTGATGTGGGGCTCAATCCCAGGACCCTAAGATCATGACCTGAGCCGAAGGCAGCTGTTTAACTAACTGAGCCACCCAGGCGCCCCGAAGAATAAGAATTTTTAAGTCTCTTCTCCAAGGCCTATGTACAGAGATGAAATACAAATGAAGGTGGAGACCTGGGGCACACCCTCCTTTCCTGAATTTATAGCTGCCCCCACACATCTCTCTGTCACGTCGGGCAAGGTCCTCACTGTGAAAGTTCTGGACTATTAATGACAATCAAAACCCAAGCACATTTCCTCTTTCCCTTATAAGTTGTGAATTCGTTAACATCATGCACTGACCCAGGAGCAACCTCACAAAATAGCCAAAGTTAAAAACACAACGTAAGGGGCACCTGGGTGGCTCTGCTAGAAACCTGCTTCTTCCTCTCCCTCTGCCTGCCTTTCCCCCTACTGTGCTCTCTCTCTCTCTCTCTCTCACTTTCTCTCTCAAATAAATAAATAAAATCTTTAAAAAAAACCACAGACAACACAAAATACTTCTGGAAAAACAATTAAAGGTGATCTTTTTCCCTGTGCCTTTAAAAAATAATAAATAGCTGTTGGTGAGATAAAATTGATTTCCATTAACTATATAATTTTCGTTTTTCAGCAGTACACACCTAAATCCCTGCTTCTTTTTTACTTTTTTTTCTGACATCTAGGTAGTACAGTGCGTCTCACCAAAGGGACCCCTTGCTTGTTCAAGAACATACTTTTTTGGGGCTACTCACGTTCCTTACTTGGGTAAGTCCCTGTCTCTTGTCATCTCATCAGCTTCCCTAATGAATAATTTCTCCCATGAACTAGAAATGGACTCACAATTTACTGCTTTCCTCAGAAGCTCATGATACCCACTTTCTAAAGGCCTCCCACTCCCTCTCTGATTCCAGATGGAGAGTTGATGCACCTAACACATTTCTCAAAGAATATATTTCAGGAGGAGTAATTATCAGCTCAACATGTATATAGTCTAACCATGTGTGAGACCGTGTGCTCAGTGTTAGAGGGAAGGCAAAGATGAGTAAGTCCCAGTTGGGGATAGCAGGAGATATGGGCTACAGTGAGAGTTTGGATGAGTCAGCCAGGCGCCTGCTGTTCTGTTGAAGCAGGGCCATGGTCGAAGGGTACCTGTGAACTGGGAACATTCCCAGGAGCAAGTGCTCCATGCTGCAGGGCCATCCAGAAAGGTTAGGCCCACTGGGGTGCCCTTCTTGCTAGGGTAATCAGAAGTTGCAGATAATCAAGGAGACCTAGAGAAGAACCTCTAGAATGAATGAGGATCTCAGCACTGGTCCACAGAGCAGAGTACCGCAGAAACCAGGTTTTCACCTGGGTGTTGCTGTATAAGCCGGGAAACTCTGAAAGAAGCATGATAATTAAGGGTCAGCTAATTAAGGAGATGATAAAAGAGTCAGAACTGAGCCTACTTAATTATACGTCATAAATTTAAAAAATTAAAAATAAAGGCAAAAACATTCCAGAGCCTAAGATTCCCCATGTCTTCTCTGGTGTTTAGAGGTGATGCTGAGTGGGTTGTCAAAATCACTGTCAGGAGTGAAGGTCTAGGAGGATACTGGGAAAAGCTGTTGTGATTGTACTGTATTTAACCCAAAAGAAAAAAAAATGTAGTTCTTGACATCTTCGAATTAAGAAATTCTAGCCTCCTTGCAAAGTGTTTGCATGACCTGTGACCTTGTCACACTTAATTCATGGTCCTCTTTCACAGGTGATGAGAATAAGCTGCCCAAGAAAACTGAACAAATGTAAGTCTTCATTTCTATTTTATATTTTCTTTCTCAAAGTTGAGTTACTCAAATCGTGGCTGTCCCATCTAACTCCTCTGAGAGCAGCAGTGGGTAGGACATTTGGGTGAAGCGATGAGCAGAGCCATGGTTTCCTAGCCCCTGTCTCAAAGCTTGGAGTCCTGCCAGCTTTGCCATGTGCTCTTCTTTCCAGAACTCAAGAGACTTCCTGCCTGCAAACCCATCCATTTTAATGGTGTGATTCTTCTTACTATGTCTTCTACATAATACATTTTTTTTATCAGGGGCTTTCCCAAAAATAAAACATCCTGAAACACATTGGGAGAATCTGTGGGAAACTCCTTCTGGTCTGAGCAGTGTTTCCTCTGGATTTGATTCTTAGGCTTAGGGAATAGAGCTAGGATCTGAACTCAGGCTTTGCAACTTTAAAAAGGTCCTAGTGTTGACTTCACTCCCCCACATATAACAGGGAACCAGAGATAAGAAATAAACTCATTAATGTTTATGTTAGTCCGCTTGGGCTACAATAACAAAATATCACAGATTGGGTCACTTAAACAGCAGAAATTTATTTTCTTAACAATTCTGGAGGCTAGAATTCCAAGTTCTATGTATCTTTCTGGGTTTTTAAAAATTATACATTTAGGTTTTGTATGGCTGTAATTAATGTGTATGCAGTTTTTTAGTGTGTGGGTTTTCTGCCCTTTAACAAGTCAACCACATTCTCATATGAGTATGGGTGTATATAGTCCTGCTTTGTACCTGCTGGTACTTCTTTTTTTTTTTTTAAGAGAGAGCAAGGGTGCACACACGTGAGTGGTGTGGGGAGGGGCAGAGGGAGAGGGAGAGAGAGAATCTTAAGCAGGCTCTACACCCAGCATGGAGCCCAGAAGGGGGCTCGATCTCATGACCCCGAGATCATGACCTGAGCCGAAGGCACCCCTGTCCCTGCTGGTACTTCTGTGCCAGCTGTGCTCAGCCTGGATCTTCATTCTGGACCCTTAGGCATTTCTCCTAATCCACATTCACTGGTGCCCGGCTTCAGGGACTAGTATTGACCAGTGCTTGGGCCTCCACCCAGAGACCTGCCGAATCACAGAGCTGGTGGAGCTCGGGCCCGAAGGCGTCCTAGTGAGGGCAACAGTAGCGCCATCCAGGCATGAGTCTCGCGCCTCCTATTCAGGCCACTTAACAAGTCCATAGCCAGGCAGCTTTGCACTCAGCTCATGTCTGAGGGGTTGTATAGGAGAAGGCCAAGCAGTGAGGAGGCCAAAACATTGTTGGCACTGAGTGATGTCTGAGTCAAGCTGGGTGGGGAAAGGAGGAGGGACATCTTTATATGTGTTTGGTGTTGGTGTCAAGGTGTGGAGGATTCTGGTCTTACCCGGAAGTGGCCATGCTCATTGTCAGTGTCCCTGCCAGGCCCCTTCCTACCAAGACCTACCCCTCTGTTGTGGCCTGGTCAACAGTCTTCAGGATATGTTGATCCTTGGAGCTGTCATTTTGTTATGTATACTTTTTCTATCTTTTTTTCTTCTACCCAACTCAAATCTCTTACCTAAAATGTAGAGGTGTGCTGCGGGAGCCAAGGAGGAAATTAAAGGAATTGGCAGTGTGACTTGGCACAGTAGAAAAGCACCAGGCTGACAGCAGACCTGAAGTCAAGCCTGCCATTCATTTTCTGTGCCTTGGATAGTTTATTCCACCTCTAGAGGCCCTACTTGCTTCCCCTGTAAGATGAGAAAGTTAGACCAGATCATTTCTGGATTCCTTCCTGCTTTCCAACTCCAGTCACCTTCCTTTACTTGTTACAAGATTCTGAGGCATAAAAATAGACATATTCTTAGGCCAGTCTTTATTAGTTTCTTGCTAGGCACCTTCCCTGCCTTTCAGGGCCTTGTGGATGAACCCCTTCTCTCTATAATTATCCTGATAAGATCCCAGATCTCTCTCCCCTAAAGTAGTGATTCTCAACCAAGGACAGTTCTTCCTCCAGCCCCACCCCCAGGGACCTTTGACAATGTCTGGAGACATTTTTGTTATCCCAGCTGGGGGTACCATTGGCATCTAATGGTTAGAGGCCAGGGGTGTTGCTGAACATCCTGTAGTGCACAGGACAGACTCCATGACAAAGAATTTTCTGGCCCAAAATGCTGAGATTGAAAATTTCTGCTTAAGGGGAACCAGTCTTGGATTTTGGATTTTCTAGGCACCCTTCATAACAGTCCCAGTCTGGCGAAGAAAGAAACCTTCTTATAATCACTTTGGGAAGTGAGAAGTCTAAGAGAAAGGGCAGGATTGGTGAGCAAGGAGCAGGGAGCTTTAGGAAGGGAATATTTGCCCTCAGAAACACACTCTATTCTCTAGTTCAGGTAAGCTGCTTGGAAAGTGGTGTGCAGCTGGTAATTTAAATTTAAGTGGAGCTCTCTTCTCCTCCGAGGTAATCTCTTTTGCTCCTGAGGTCTCCCACCCTGAGGTTCCAGTAGCAGCCTGCCCTTAGTAAGCCTGGGAGGAGACGACATGAAGGTGTGGTGTGGTTGATCCCGAAAAAGCAGAAAGTCTGTACCAAGACACTGAAGGGATTCAGGCTCCTGACATAGAGGGGCTAGGTAGCCTGCAGAGTTCTCTTCTGTTGGATCACAAACAGGGAGGGTTGGTCTTCTGAGCAGAGCTGGCTTTTCTTATGATGGTTTTATAAGAGCAAAGTATAGGGACACCTGGGTGGCACAGTTGGTTAAGAGTCTCACTCTTGGTTTCAGCTCAGGTCATGATCTCAGGGTCATTAGATCAAGTCCCACATTAGGCTCTGCGCTCAACGCAGAGATTCTCTCTCTCCCTCTCCTTCTGCCCCTCCCCCTACTCATATTCTCTCTCTCTCTCTCTCTAAAACGAATAAATATATTTTTTAAAAAAGCTCTACAAAACTTAAAAAAAGAAGGAGCAAAGTATAAATCACGTGGGGCACATGGCTTTTAAAAGATTTAGAAATCAGCAGTGCCTGGATGGCTCAGTTGGTTAAGCATCCATCTCTTGGTTTCGGCTCAGGTGATGATCTCAGCGTCCTGGGATCAAGCCCTGAGTCAGGCTCCATGCCCAGCAGGGAGTCTGCTTGAGATTCTCTCTGTCTCTCTCCCTTTGCCCCTCCCCACACTCTTCCATGAACGCACACACTTTCTCTCTCTTTGAAATAATAAATAAATCTTTATAAAAGGTTTAGAAATCAGTGAGTTCCATTTTTGCACTTTTCTCATTCTTTTTTAAAAATCAGTTGCTTAGGGAATGTCATTTATGTGCGTGCAGCTTTTGTTGAAATCTTGTGATGCTATAGTTAACCCCTATCTTTTGTTCTAAAGTAGGCTCTTGTCCCAGGTGTACGCTGCTGTTATACAGGCTGTTTTGGCTGGCATTGCATGTTATGCTAAAACTTCCAGTCTAACAAAGGTAATTTAAACACCACGTTTCTCTTTCCTTAGTAGTAATTTCAGTGTAAACCGTCCTATCCGTCTGTTTTGGCTTTGGACACCTGGTAGTAGTCAGTTTTGTGCGAGCTTGGGCCTCAGTGGAGCTGACACCAGACAAAGATGTGCCTGGAGAGTGCTGAGCTTCTGCTGCCTGTGACTGAACTGCCCTTGTCCTAGGAATGACCGCTAATCAGCACTTCTTTGTAGATGTCCGGTTGTGTTAAAAATCATTCTGTAGCATACTGTTTTACTTACTAGCTTTTTTTTTTTTTAGTTTTTATTTATTTATTTATTTTACTAGCTTTTTTAAAGTTAAAAAATAAAGAAAAATATAGATTTTTCTATGTGAATTTAATAAAGTTAGGTAAGTTTGTCTTGAGCTACATAGTATGATTTCCTATAATGTTTAAAAAAAAACAACTAAAAATGAGAAAAACTGACTTGCCTGTCCTAGACAAGCACATGTGTTCTCGTTCTCTGACCGTTCTCTTCCTTGCTGTTTTGCGGTTAACCTGCCCTGCTGAGTTGGATTCCTATATCTGACCCAGTAAGGAGAGGAGAAGAGTCAGCTTGATGCCTCCCAATGCCAATAGGACCTTTCCTGAAAGAAGCCATTTGACATTGGAAAGGTTGTGTATGATGTAGATACCAGAGAGACTGTAGCCGTAGTCACCAGCTCCCGGCCATCTCCCCTCCTCACTGAACTTGAATCCCGGGTACAACTTGGGATTTCTCAGCCCTTTAGCTGAAGGCTTATACGATATCAGTTCCCACACTTTTCTTTTTTAACTGATCTTTTGTAAACGTAGGTATTCTAATATTCTTAGCATCTGACAGAAACTCCAAGGGCAGTAGTCCCTCCCCCAGGGCCAAGGGAGAGGGGAGGAAACCCTTTTCCAGACCTCACAATGGCATCGTCCTGGCTGGTTACAGTTCCCGGCAGATCAGGTTCCAATGCCCACCTGCCTGAATGAAGTGTTTCCTGTGAACCCAGCCCAAAGAAAGCAGGCACCTGTTTCCCTTAACACAATGTTTTCACTTTGATCTATTGATGTATACAAAGCAGTTGTGTAGGGGGGAGGGGCACAGTGTTCTCCTGGCCAAATGTTAGAAGAGTGCTTCCTATCAGTGATATGTACTCTCTCCTGCTGTGAAAGCTAATTGTCTCTGTTTTGTCATTGCTTTTACAGGCAAAGGAGGTAGCTGAGCAGACCCTGGGATCTGGGTTAGATTCCTTTGAGTTGATGCAGTTTAAGGCAGCCCTACGGTAAGCAACGGCTGCTATTTTCTATAAGGAATTATTATTATTTTTTTTATAAAGACCCTTTTCTGTCTTGTATTTGATATTCCATCTTTCCTCTGAGAAATTTTCCAATAAAATAAGGGAATGTCTGAAAGAGAAACATTCATGATCAGGGCTTTGAGAGGACAAGTAGCCAAAGATGGAGGAACTGTAAGAGAAAGAGTCAGACACATTTCCTGATGCCAGAATGGGAGGCAGATCAATGGTAGAAACATCAGAGACCTGAAGGACCCAGGTTTGGAGGTTAGAAAGGTGAAGCGGGGACAGGAGGGGTGAAGTTTGTTAGGGTCAGGGTCCCTGGCCACAAAGAGACAGTCCCTGCTTAGGAGAGCCTGGCCCCGGGCCTCCGATGCCTCTCAGGTAATAGACACCCTGAGCCTGGCCTTGTCTCAGGGGCTAGACGCTCTGGGAATCGGACTTGCTGGCAGTCCAACCATCATACTACATTGGGCACATCCCAGGGGCTTTCTATGTAGTCTGTGTCCATAGCTAAACTTTCATGAACCCAGTCCACCTAACCCTTCACCTGTCCTGTATGAGGACCACTAGTGCACTTTTTTGAGGAATTTTTTTTAGAACACTACGGGATGTGCCCTGTGGTGCCTCAGCTCCTTGCCCCATGTTCTCTTACATCTACAGCCCTGGGTAGTAAGAAAGAGCATTGACAAAGGTAAGTCAGTCAGTTGATCTAACAAGAATTCTATTGCTGCAGCTCCAGGAGCAGAGGAAAGAGCCAGATCTTTTTGGTGCAAGGCTTCAGGCCTCTTTCCTCTGGGTCTTGTGGATCTTGTAGCTCTGGCCATGAGAGGAGAGGGATAGAAGAAATTTGATTCCTTAAGGCCTTCCTGTGGCCTGGACTATCTGTTCCTGGCAGACCTGAGTTTGAGAAAGCTCCTTTGCTTTCCAGCTGTGTGACTTTGGGCAAGACAAGGAGCTCTCTGTACATCTGTTTTCTTGTCTTCCCACCATGCAGAGTGACTAAGCATGTAAATGTTAGCTGCTGTCACATGGGGGTCTTCTGTGTCACCATGGACATGGCGGGCATGTCCCTTTCCTCCTTTCTTCCTCCTTTCTTCCAGAGCTTTGTGTAGGCCGCTCAGCCTTTCCAGGGCAGGCCACCTTTCCATCCCAAAGCCTTTTAGGCCTGGGCATACCTCCCTAGCTGGAGGAAGGAACAAGAAAAGAATACCAGGCAATGGGAGGAGCATCTCCCAGGGCCAGCTCTCCCATCTGGAGCCCCCCTCCCTTCTCTCCACAAGGTCACTTCACTGAGTACCCTCACACTACATCAGATTAGCAAATCATCTCCTGAGAGGAACACAAGACTTGGCCTCTGCCTAGGCTCTGAGCGGGGATGGCAGCTTGACCCAAGGGTAGTAAAGAAAAGGAGGATCGGGACAATATGTCCCAGCTGTGGGGCAGGGGGCTGTGGGCCAGTACAGGGTCTTCCCAGTCTGCAGTGGACAACAGTTCTGGCACATGGTTCTCTCCTGCTGTGTCCAAGACAAGCCAGCCCTGAGAATCTGCACAGAGGCAGAGCTGTGACTGGAGTCAGACGCTGGCCCCGCACTTGGCAAATGTGCCATGAGGGCCCAGCACAGGTGCAGTGCAGCAGCAGGTGTCTGGGGGGTGGCCAACGGTATGGTTAGCGAGAACAGACTGACTTTTTATTTTGTTTTGGGTCTGCAGCTCCAAGATGGCTTTTCATATCCATGCTGTGAATAATCAGGGAAGGTAAGTGTGTGTTTGTCATGCATGCTCATTTGGGGCAAGTTTTAGGAAGAAAAAGAGAAGATAGGCTATCTTGTAAATGCTGATGTAGTTGGTCTTCTTAGAGTTCTACACCTGGGAATGGCATCATGCCAGGATTGGGCCTGGGACTGGCTATACTCAGCTGAGACCCTATACCCTGAGTGCTTCCCACTGAAAGACTGAGGCATGGGAGTAAAGGGCGGACCTAATTCCTTCCAGTGGCCTGTGTACTAAATCTGCATGCATGTAACCCAGTGCTTTGACAAGCCCTGAAAGAAATCTGGGTCTGTGGGTTGCTGCCAAGTTGAGAAAAGAGAGCATTGTAAATGTAATATGTGTTTCTCCTGTCTCTTCCTCTTCCAGGATTGTGCCTCTGGACAATGAAGATAGCTTATACTTCGTGAAGACAGTAAGCAGAGCTGTTGTTACAAGTCAGCTAGCAGGGGGTGGCCTATGGAGGGACATCTGCAAGGGCTGAGACCGGAGTAGGTGGGAGTCTTGGGCAATCTGTCCCTGAGGAAACTAACTGGTCTCTTCTCAGGAGGGTGTCAGCTGCAGCTGTGGTGAGCCTATGATTTTGAGGGTGCCAAGGCAGCTATACCAGGCCCACATCATATCCTGTGCCTCAGCTTCCCAGGGAACAGAGTCTTATCTGGGGGTTGGGAGAGACACTTCTTCCTAAGGTTAGGAAGGCTTCCTGCAAGTGACTGAGACGCTCTGCCCTCATGTGGAAATGTGAGCTAAGGACAAGCCTGCCTCAACACAGACTGATGAGTTTTCAGTGGATTCTCTGTGTTCCAGGGCCTGAGTTGATGCCCTTAACAGGGGTCTGTGAAAATAAATTAAAAAACTGGGGGCCTAAGTCTCCAGTGAAGTGGGTAGTCAGGGCAGAACTTTCCACCCCATTTGCTGGAGGCACCCTGATGGGACAGGGGCATGGTTTAGAGATGCAGAAATATTGGTCCCGAGGTGGGCTGGCTGACATGGCCTGAGGGAGCAAAGTTTCTAGACCAGTTGCTCCCGGTCACAAGCCAAGTTCTCCATTTAGCCCAGTGCATCCTGATGTGCAGAAGATTGGCAAGCAATGCATGAAAGGATGGTAGCTACCCAGCCAAGATGCTGGTTGCAGTATATGTGGGCACAGATTACACCTTGAGTCTGTTCTGTGGCTACTGCCTGAGCCTTAATTCCAGTGAGCTTTTGGTCACCAGGAACTTGGTGTGTAGTTGTGGATAACTCAGTGCAAATGCATGCCCACCGCCATCACCAATGGAAAAGCAAGAGTGTTATCTCATCTATAGAGTAGTACAACAAGAGTAACTTTTTAAGGTTGTGAGTAATTTCTCTTTTTATAATGTGTCTGCTCCCTGTATCTGTCAGCATTTTGTGTTGATGCTCATTTAGAACTAAGAGACTTTATTATGACATCATCAAGATCCTAGGAGGTGCTTTCTGATATTAGGTGGTACTTTATCTCCTTGCCAGACTGTAAGCCCTGATTTCTCTATTTAGATTCCTCTGCAGTGCTCTGGAAGGTCCTTTGCACAATAGAAGGTGATCAGGAGTCCAGTGGAATCACACTATTGTGTTAAGTATGCATTCAGCAGCCACTAATGAAATAGGAAAGAAGAGAGAGAAAGTTGTTGTTTTCTGTCCAAATCCTGTCCTCCTTTCCAAGTAGAGATGAAGTTCTGCCTTTTAATTTTCTCTCTCCTCTTCCTCAATATTAGAAGCCTAGTATAAAAGTAAAGTATTGGGTATAACCCACTGGATTGTCTTCCTGTTTGATCTGGAAACCAAAGCAGGGTTCCCATTGTCAATTAAGAGAGACCATGCAACCCAGGAAGGTTTTGTGTCTTCACATGTTAAAAATTCTTTGAAGCAGGGGCGCCTGGGTGGCTCAGTCGTTAAGCGTCTACCTTCGGCTCAGGTCATGATCCCAGGGTCCTGGGATCGAGCCCCTCATCGGGTTCCCTGCTCTGTGGGAAGCCTGCTTCTCCCTCTCCCTCTGCCCCTGCTTATGTTCCCTCTCTCACTGTGTCTCTCTCTGTCAAATAAATAAATAAATCTAAAAAAAAAAAAAAAATTCTTTGAAGCAGATTTAGAAAAGAAAAAAAAACAAAACTCACAGTTGTCAGGCTTAATCAGAAAGTTAGCTAAAATATAAAAGCCTACCTGTGACTTCTGTACATCCTTTTTTCATGACAACATGAGAAATTAACTGCTTTGGCTTTAACTGTCTTTTTTTCTCAACTCTTCTGCCTTCCTTTTTTATTTGGGAATCTAGCAGTTTCTTCAAGAGCCCTATGTCTTTTGTCTCTGTCCTGAGCCTAGAACAGGGGTCCCAGCCTAGGATAACAATGTATGAAAATGGGCTCTGTTTCAGAAACTGTGTACCTGGCCATTCAGCAACATCAGGCCAGGAGGAGACAGGACCTGAGAAGGCTCACTGTGCTACTCATCCCATGTCCCTCACCAGATCTTCAGTCATTCCAGACCCTGGCTCTGGCTTATACCATTTTCTGCGTTTCTTCAGCTAGATTTTCCCCCAAAATTGTTCTGTTTTCATTAGTTTTAACATAAATTAGGGCTTGTTTATCAGCCATTCGGGAGCTCTTTCTGTGTTGCTCCAGTTTTTTTTTCCAGCCTACTGAAGCCTCTCTTTTTATTTGTCTTGCCATAAAAGCTTAAATAGTTTTCTTTTAATTTTCTTGGTACTGAAAGAAGCATTTGTAGGTATTGACATGTATTCAGAAATATCCATGAAGACGTGTAGTGAATGAATTACCACCTTCCCAGACTTGTTCAGAACTTGAGCCCAAACCAGAGAAGGAGTTGGTGAGCATGTGGATGTGCCAGGATGCAAAGAGTGTATGAGTGTACAAAAGCCTGGAAGAAACACCTCCAACTCTGAGAGGCCAGGGCCTCATCACAATTAAGAAGGAAGGCTTTTATCTTAGGAAAGATAAGCAATTTGATCCCTCAAATTTTATGTTTATAGAAACATAAAAATACTCCTGTGGCCCAAGTTTATCTCTGATGCAGAAGCAGTTGCAGGGAAGCGTGAGTGATGCTGAAGTCCTCTCCCTGGTCCTGAGATGTAGTTCAGAATAACTTGAGTTTTCCTTAGAAACTCTGGAGTATTCTTTTAAAATGTGCCTTAGAGCAGTATTTTGTGGTCTGTTTCTTAAGGGTCTCTCCCTAAAAGTTTAAGACTGACAACTGGCCTAACTCTGTTTTCTCATTTGATACAGGCTTGTATGACTGTATATGACATTCCTGACTTACTGGGAGGAAGGGGGTGCTTAGGGTCTGTGGTCTTCTCAGAATCCTTTTTGACGTCTCAGATCTTGGTTAAAGAAAAGGGTAAGTGTTTATAAGGTCTTTAGAAAGCAAAACTTGAGTTTTTGTTTGTTTTGGCAAAATAAGTTATAGATATAGTTTCATAGTTCTTATGTATACATAAATCAATATATAATAATTCTACATTGTATATTATAATTATATATAACATGTTATTAATTATAACATCTTCACACACACACACATATGTATATGAGAATATGTACAGCCTCACTGGTAGTCAGGAAGAAGCAATTTGAAATAATAATTAGATCCTTTTTTTCACCCTTGTACTACCTTGATAAAAATTAAAAATATAGATAAAAAGGACTAATTCCCAGGACTCTCCATTTAAATGTGTGTTTCTAATTGTTGTAAAAAATATTAATAGAGTTAATCACATGGGGAAACCTTCCTCCCTCCCCTCACTAATCTCCCTGTTCCCAGATGAGGAAGTTTTCAATTTCTGAGGGCACAAGATTTTGTATACTACTAAGAGGAGCCATCTCTCCTGAGAAAGGGAGGGGTGTTAGTTTGGGGGCCTACAAGGTGGGCTCGGGTAGTGGGCAGTAACTGGCATGTCTGTGGTCTTCCTGCAGATGGCACTGTTACCACAGAAACCAGCTTCATAGTCCTGACAGCCGCCATACCCAGATTCTGCTCCTGGCTGGTTAGTGTCATTCATCCGGTGTAAGTGGACGTAAATGTGAAGAAACCGGGAAGATCATTTGAGGAAGAGCCTCATTGGGTCCCTGGTGGGATGTCAGGACCTAAACTAGCTACTGTTCAGGAATGGAAGTTTTTATCTCAGCTCTTTTTCTTTATACAAATGAATCTAGTTTCTTTTAACTCTCTCCTAAACTTGGGAAAGTGCCAAAAGAAATGAACTAAGTGATTTGGGTCCCTGTTAAATTATGAAAGGAAGAAATTAAACCTTCATTTTACAGATGAGGACACTAAGGCTTAGAAATTGACCAACCTGTCCAAAGGAGTAGATCACGTGGCTCCCTTCTCTGGTCAGAATGGTTGCTGCTGAGTTTTTACAGCAGAGTCTTTCTACACGTAGAAGGGTTCCATCTTCATCTGTGGGAGTTGGTCTAAAACTCTCATGCCTTGGGACACAAAGTATGATAGCAATGAGTCTAATAGTGGTCTAAGTACCTATTTTAAAATCTTTATATTCTGTTTCTATAATTTTTTTTAAGATTTTATTTATTTGACAGAGAGAGACATAGCGAGAGAGGGAACACGAGCAGGGGGAGTGGGAGAGGAAGAAGCAGGCTTCCTGCAGAGCAGGGAGCCCAATGTAGGGCTCAATCCCAGGACCCCGGGAGATGTAAGGCAGACGCTTAACGACTGAGCCACCCAGGCGCCCCTGTTTCTATATTTCTGATGTGAATAGAGAAGAGCAAGAATCATCCTCTAACATGAATACATATAAATGAGAACACATTAATATGTTCTCTTCCCTTTATCCTTACAAATAGTTGCTTTTCTCTGAAGTGAAATGTAAGTGGAGACTAATACATGATTTCCACATCTTGTAGGCTCATTTAGCTGGACCTCAGGTCCCAGGGAGAGAGAGAGCCCACCAGGGCCTTGGGCTCTGAGCCTTGATGACCAGTAGCCAGCCCGGCTCTGCCAGCCATCAGGGCCTCAGAACACAGGATTTGGTGGAGGGACTGCCCAGTCTCCTGGAAATGTTGAACATGGGCGAGACCTAGGAGAGTTTTGCCCTTGAAGTAGGAAACTGAACACTTGTATTCCTTTTGGACACAGGTAGAAGATAATGAAGTAAAATTGTCTGAGAAAACCCAGCAAGCAGTGAAGGTAAGCAGCCTTCTTATCCTCAGTGTTAACATTATATCAAAATGAAACGTAAACAGTTTATGAAGATAACTAGAATATTTCATTTTAGGGCTAATCTGAAGAATATGTTTCTCTTTGTCTCAATTCCTGTTTGCATTCTTCCCCTCCCAGCAGAGCTTTAGAAATAACCATTTAATGGGGCACACAGAAGGATTTGTTCTGCCACTCTGGCCTTTTGATGTGTTTTTTTAATCTCCCAGTACTATTAAAAGCAGATCTCAGATTGGCCTAGACGTATAGAACTGAGAGGTCAAGGCTTTAGGCCAAGGAGAGCTGCCTCCAGTTGCTAGAAATCCACTGCAAGATGAACAAGCATAGCAGGCTTTGGTGCCTGGACTCGGAGAGGACCTTACAAGTTAAAAATGCCTGTAACATGACAAAGAGCTAGGCAATGCCAAAGGCATGAAAGAAGTTGGGTCTGTGTGAGGCTAACTAAGGAGCTTTTGTAGACAGACAAACGGGCAGGACTTTTGATTCTGTGAAAATTTATGCTATAAATTGTCTGCTCTTTGTGATTGTTTTTAAAGGGGGATGCCTGTTTCCTGGGTACTTTTCTAACAGGAGGAGAAGGAGCATATCTTTATTCCAGCAATCCACATTCTTGGCCTGAGGAAGGTGAGCCAGCTATTACTTTTCTTTTTCTTTTTTTTTTTTTTAAGATTTTATTTATTCATTTGAGACACAGAGATACAGAGAGAGAGAGCATGAGCAGGGAGCAAGACAGAGGGAGAGGGAGAAGCAGGCTCCCTGCTGAGCCAGGAGCCCGATGCGGGGCTCGATCCCAGGACCCCAGGATCAGGACCTGAGCCGAAGGCAGACGCTTAAACATCTGAGCCACCCAGGCGCCCCTGGCTATTACTTTTCTATTCTTGACTCTGTCTGGGTCCCTCTTTGCAGGTATTGGCATGGGTGTTGTGATTAGTAATGCATCTGATATTTGAAAAGACTTGTTGGTGTAGAAGTGTTTTCTTATGGCTTTCCTCCTTTTATCCACCCATTTCGCAGATGAAGAAACTTGTGCTAGGAAGGGATGGCCCCAGAACCACAGTCTGGTCCTCTTCTTGTCGCCTTGTTCTCAGAATAGGCTGGAGCGTCAGCGTATCCAGAAATAGAATTTGTGGACCTAAACAAGTCTGGATTCATTTTCTATTGCTGTAAAACAAATTACCACAAATTTAGTAGCTTAAAACACACATTTACTATTTCACGGTTCTGTAGGTCAGAAGTCTAGGTAGACTTGGCTGGATTCATGGTAGGTTCTCTGAAGTTAAGGTGTCAGTCAGACTAGGCTCTTATCTGGAGACTCTGGGGAAGAATTCACTCCCAAGCTCATTTAGATTATCAGCAGAATTCAGTTCCTTCGGATTGTAGGACTGAGGTCCCCATCTTATTCCTAGCTGTCAGCCAGGACCATGCTTAGCTCCTTCTCCCAGAGGTCCCTGCCCTGTGACAGCCCTCCCCCATCTCAGCAGTGAAACCTCCTTTGTGTTGTTGAATCTCTCTTACCCTTTGGATCTGTCTAAATTCCTTTTCTATACCAGCCAGAGAAAACTCTGCTTATAAAGAACTGCTTGTGATTAGAGGAAGCCCACTCAAATAATGTTCCTTTTGCCATATAACATTACATGAGCACAGGAGTAACGTCAGAAGATGAAAATCATGGGAGCCATCTTGAATTTCTGCCCACCACGGTCTACCCTCTGGCCTCCCATTTGTGTCCCTCCCACATGCAAAATACAATCACCCCTTCCCAAGAGCCCCATCTCATTATGGTAACAGTTCAAAGTCCCAGATCTCACTAGCTCAAAAATCCAAAATCTCATCGTCAAGTTCATCTAAATCAGATGTAGATAAGGCTCTGGCTTTTAATCCATGAAGTACAACTCCTGAACAGAAGTCTTCTCTAGGTGTGGCCCCATGAAACTAATGAGACAAGTCACCTGCCCCTCTCTCCCAACACCCAGGGTGGCCCTGACATAGAATAATATAGACATTCATCTTCAGAAAGGGCGGGGTGGGGGGTGGAAAATAAAAAGGAGTCATCAGGGGTGCCTCGGTTGCTCAGTCGTTAAGCGTTTGCCTTTGGCTCAGGTCATGATCCCAGGGTCCTGGGATCGAGCCCCGCATCAGGCTCCCTGCTCAGTGGGAAGCCTGCTTCTCCCTCTCCCACTCCCCCTGCTTGTGTTCCTTCTCTCGCTGTGTCTCTCTCTGTCAAATAAATAAATAAATAAATAAAATCTTAAAAAAAAAAAAAAAAGTCATCAGCCTGAAGTAGCTTTGAAATCCAGCTGGGCAAACTCCAGGGTTTGGATTAGGTTTCAAGGCCTGGGAATAGTCCACCATGGCTCTTATCTCTGCCACCTGGGCTCTTGGTTTCACCCTCTAAACTCTTAGTTTTCCCTCTAAACTTGTGGCTACACCTCGGTCATCCTTCCTTTTTCACAAAGGTAGCACTTTGTAGGTGAGTTTTATCAGCCTGCTTCTTGCCGATAGCATTTGGGGGTTCAATAGTCGCCTTTGATTTCATATTCTCTCTCTGTCCCTTTCAGTATATTTCTGCTGACCGAAGATTCTCAAAAACCTTGTTGGTTTTGCATGGATTTCGTGGAGATTCATTCTGTGCTCCTTTTTGGTTTCCTCAAAATAACATTTTCTTAGGAGTCCTCTTCTTCCCCTGGCTGATACAGCCATCTTGTGGAAGAAGAGTTGTGACTTACTCCACAAATTTCTCAGCCTCTACTGAGCAAATCCCCTTCCTGGATAATTTGTTCTTCAAAATACTCCGTCCAGTCGCAGATTCCTCTCCCTATTCTCAGATCACTGGTTCAGCTTCTGCTCCTCCCTTCATGGAGGAGACAAAGCACAAGGAGGTTTGGGGCTCCACAAAATGCCGGGTAGTAAGTAATAGCATCTGGTATCGTCCCTGTGCCACAGCCCCTGCCTGCATTTATGCTTCTCCAGCTCTGGCACATCCGGAAGACTGGAGGCAGGAACCTGTGGAAGGCAGCCAGTTGAGACAGTGCTACTAGCCTTGGGGCAAGATTGCATAGTGTTTCAGAAGCAGGAGGTAGAGGCAACACACAGGTAGTTAGTTGAGCCAATCATAATATTTAGCAAGGATATTAGCCAAAACTAGTTTGCACCTTTTTAGCAAAGGGCCTTGTTAGAAAAGTAATCTTACACTGTATTGAGTTATCCAGCAAGACTCATTGTATCCTGAGGTCTACACACAAAGGGCAAAGCCGGGGATTTCTGGAGCCCTATTTGTCATACTCTTTTGAGAGCACACTCTTAGTTTCTGAAGGAAATGCAGTTTGAATTAGGAGGTGGTTTTCTGAGGCAGGAGGATTAAATAGGAACAGAGAATTTAAACAGGAATCTCCTCTGGCTGTCTGTTAAGCTTTCTGCCACTTTGGAGCTTAGATCAAGTGGGGCTTGAAGTTTATACCACTTAAGGTTCTTTCAAGGAAAAATAACATAAAACGGTTAGGAGTCTTCTGAGGGCTTTGGAAGGGGGCTTGGGCAGGTGAGGGGTTCTGAAGTTTAAGCGTCATTAGTGTCTTGGTAAATCTATCTCTACTTGAGACTATGATGACCTTGAAACTCATCCGTTCCCACTCCCTAAAGGCATCTAAAAAGCTCTTCAGCATGCATTATCTTAATTGAGCTTCCTATCCCGAGCCCCATAGGTGAAAACTTGCCTAAGGTTATAATGCAAGTTCACAGTAGGTCTGAAGGTTAGTCCAGGTCTTCTGATTCTCAGTCCAGGGTTGGCCCTTCGAACTACATATAGATAAGAATAGTACTTCTTTACTTTGAAATGTTTCCAGCACCAGAACCTTTTTCTTCCCCAGTTAGTGGCTTCTGCTATCACAGGACTTCTTGCTATGCAGGTTCCTATTCATTTATGTCCTTCATGTGCCCTTCTCTTCCCCACCCTGCTGACCTTGGTCAGGCAGGCTGCCCAGTCCCTAATCCTCAGGAGCCCGCTTTAGAGTTTTACCACATACGCCTATATCCCTGAACAATGTCTTGGTTTTGAATGTAACACAAATATAATCACACTGTGTGTTCTTCTGGGACTTGCTTTTTTTGCTCACTATTCTTTTCCTAAGATTCATCCAGATTGTTTTGAATAGCCATATAGTTGATTCACTTTCATGGCTCCATGGGATTCCTTTGTATGGAAATGTGCTATTTATTCTTCGGACTGTTGATAGACATTTGGGGTTTATAATTTTTTTTGCTATTGCAGACAGTCCTGAGTATTTTTGTACATGTCTCCTGGTGCACATGGATGGCACCAGGAAGACGCCTTAAATCACAGCCTTCCTGCTGTATAATGATTGACATCTGTTGTCTCAGTCTCCTGACTTTCCTGTTGCATTCTGGCTAGTCGGACCAGCTAGCTCTGACATCTCTGGCTAGTCAGTATGTTGGCATTCCCTGAACGTTTGCTACTATGATTGCTGTCTTTTTTTTTTTTACATCCCTGCCTATAGAATTTTCTGTGCTTTGCCTCAAAGTCAGCCCCTCTCCTATGTAAGAGGCTCTAGTTCCAGAGGGGAGGGGACTAGAGGGGAGGTCAAGTGAATAGCCCCTGGCTGAAACACCAGATTTCCACAGTTCTCACCAAGCTTCAGTAGAATTTCTCAAATAAATGCTTCTCAGTTTTATTGTACAACTTTGGTCCATTACCAGAGTCCTTAAATAGTTGTCTTAACAATTAGACCAGTTTCATCACTGTTTTCTGGGGAGAGGATCTTCACAGCCATTTCAGAAGTCCCACCCCTTGGGTTTTGAAAGATATTTTCACTTGGT